GGATGGATAGATGGATAGATAGATAGGTAGATAGATAGATAGATAGATAGATAGATAGATAGATAGATAGATAGATAGATAGATAGATAGATAGATAGATGGATGGATGGATGGATGGATGGATGGATGGATGGATGGATGGATGGATGGATGGATGGATGGATGGATGGATGGATGGATGGATGGATGGATGGATAGATAGATAGATAGATAGATAGATAGATAGATAGATAGATAGATAGATAGATAGATAGATAGATAGATAGATAGATAGATAGATAGATAGATAGATAGATAGATAGATAGATAGATAGATAGATAGACGTTTACAACACTGCAATATATAAAAACACTTTTCCATTTGGAAGTTATTTGGTTTTGATTGAATTATTTAACAGAAAACAAGACTCTCTTTCAGATCTAATTTTGCTTTACTAGTAAATGAACACATTCTGTATGGCTATATATCAAACATGCATATTCTTGTATACATTTTGTCAGGCCTATGATCTGAGTCTTACCATGTACTATGAGGTCAAAATTACAGCTGTCAAACTTGTCTCTAGATGACACCTCACAGCGATAGGCTCCGGCAAAGTTGGCTTTAGCTGCAATGATATGCATCTCAAATGTGTACACCTGAATACAAAAAAAATTAGAAAAAAGTTTGTCACTTATTTTTGATTTCACGTTCTGAAGATATTGAGGAAATATAATAGTTTAGTTTAAATCTGTTTTCCTGTGGTCAGACCTTAGTGTTGCGGTCATAGTGCTCTTTGAGCTGCAGGTGCTTTCCTGACTTGCTGGCCAGATCCATCCACTTTCCTTTGAACCATTTCACCGTGGGCTTCTTCAGCAGAGACTCACCACACACCCGAGCAATGAAAATAATGTTTTCACCTAAATGGGAAGAAAAGATTGTAAGTTTTTCCATTTGTATTCACTTTCAGTTTCTAGATGGACTGTCACTCACCAACATTCACCTCCCCGCTGTGAGGTTTCTCAGTGAAGAGTCCTGTAAGGTCCTGCCTTGTGTCAGGCTGATGACTCTCAGGCAGAGCTTAAAAACAAATAGCAAAACAGGTTTGAAATTCATCTGAGAATTTAAAACTTTGCGATGTCAAATATAAAGTATAGTGACACATTCAGAACATACATAACTAGATCAAAGCAAAATATTTAACCAATAATTCATTCATTCAATAATTATTCATACATTTAGCCTTAGTCCCTGACTTTCAGGGGCATAAAGCTGCTAATGGAATTCAGAAATGCTTCTTTTTAACGACAACAGATGTTATTAAGTGAACTACAGCCAGTTGATTAATATACTCTATACTCGCATCATTATTTTTTCCCCTTTTGTTTAGAGGCAAAATAATTTCTAAGTTATATATATATATATATATATATTCATACACACACACAAACACACACACACACACACATATATATATATATATATATATATATATATTTCAGAATGCTTTTTAGATTAAATATGTGTGCGCGCATTCTTATGAATAAAAACAACAACAACAACAAAAAATGCAAGAAAATTTACATCAAGAAGAAAACAGTAGTTAAGAAAGCTAATAAAGGGTGTTTTGACTTCAGGAAAGTTATTAGTTCCCTTCCTTTGGTCCAGAATTTTTTAACACCAGATCTTTGATTCTAAATTTGGTGTGGTTTGCTTTCACACTAATATTTTTACAAATGAACCAGAAATTGTAAACAAAAGTACACATGCTAAAGTCAGCCATCTATTTAGATGAAATTTGCTTTTTGGCTTTGTATTTGCTGTGCAACTATCATCTGCACTGTCCAAAAGAACTGCCTATGACAGACTCTAACTGTAGCTTTGAGGACCCATTCAAATATTGCAGCTTTTGCTCTTATACACACTGTAAAAACAGTCAGCTTTATCATATAGTGTAGTTAACCCAACATTGACTGAAAGTTATCTCTACTCTACTGAAAAGAGTTTTGAACTGTTTTGAAGGTTTTGACTTAATTAAATACCTCATTACTTCACTTAAATGGAGTAAGTTTACAGTACTTATAGATTATCTTTTTTTAACTCAAAAGGTTTGTAGCAATCGGTTTCCTCAAACGGTTTAAGTCGTCTTAATTTATTGGGTTTTACAGTACTCAGTTGGTTTGAGTTCTCTTCATTTATTGGGTTTTACTGTGCTCAAATTGCTTCTTTTACTTGAATAGAGTGAGTTCACAGTACTCATTTGGATTAGTTTTTGAATTTTTAGATGGTTTAAATGGTTTATTGCAATCGGTTTTTATCAAATAGTTTGAGTTACCTTAACTTTTTGGGTTTTACAGTGCAGTATATTCTCTGTTTCAAATGTAGATGTGCACAAATAGAGTGCAACATGGTTGGTTGTAACACATTTCGGTTATAACGGTAGACTGGTTACCAAACACAGAAAAGCCGAATAAAGTTTCACACCAAAGTGAAACAAACTTGAGTTTGATCCAACCAAACTAAACAAGACAGGTGTGAATACATCCAATGTTATCAAAGATGTGGATATGTTTGCACAAGTGAGAACATGAGTAAACTTTGACTCTGTGTGTGTTTTTGTATCCACCTTCAGGTGCGACTCCATCCGATGGCGGTCCAGTGCTTTCTGGTGCTGAGTTTTCAGTTGGGGCTGGTGGAGGCTCTTTGGGCTCAGGTTTGGATTCTTCAGGTTTAGATTCTTCAGGTTTATGTTCCACTGCTGCAGGATCCGGGGATTTGGCTTTTTCCACTCCCTTTACTGCAAAAGTGCAAAAATCCTTAAAATGACTATCCGACAACATGCGATAAACAATCAGTCATGTGGCTCAGAGAAGTTTCACTTTTGACAGCTGATGAATAATAAAACAAGTCCCTGTAGCCATACATTACTAATACTTTATTTAAAAACTATCTGGACCCAAGTAAAAATCAAACCCTTTAGGGGCTCTAGAGGATAGTGATTTAAACTTAAAGTTGAACTTTGTTACAAAATTCAGAGGCTTACATTTTTCACATGAAATACCCTCAAAGACATTTTCAGTCTATTAATGAACATGATTGTGCTTGTAATGGTTTTCTCTTGGATCCTTTTCTGCTTTGATATTGCTCTCTTTGCAAATCTAATGACCATACAAATTAGGACTCAGTCTTGCTTTCATCCTCTGTTGTGCTTTGAAAAATAGCTCTAAATACTGAATGTATAAATATAGACCTATGCTGAATTGGTAGATGCTTGAAGCTCTCCAAGCAGCGAACAATATACCGAATTATGTCTACAGCAGCAATGGATTATATGAACAATTGACCAAATTTAATTAAGTAAATCTCACTGTAAAAACTGTGCAATTCCTTCATGTCAAAACAACTTGATCGAGTCTGTTTCCCAACCCTGTTCCTGAACGCACACCAAAAGTAGACATTTTCAACCTCTCCCTAATCAAACACATTTGAATTATCTCATCAGAACATTAGAAGAGACTCCAACACCTGAAATGAATGGGTCAAATAAGGGATGTACTGTTAGTGTGCCCCCAGGAACAGGGTTGGGAAACACTGGATTAAGTTAACATCATTGTTTTTACAAATTTAAGTTGAATGAACGTAATACCCCCTTAAGTATTGCTTTTTAACTCATTTTAAAAAAGTAAATTAAACAAGTAGCAAAAGTTAAAAAGCTTTTTTTCTTCTTAAACAGATGTCTTTTTGTACAAGTATAATTGTGTTCAATTTGTTTAGTTTGACAGCTATATTTTAGTGCGACCACCTAATCTGAATATATCAGGCTAGCTAATCATGTATTTAATTTATTTTGCACAATGCAGGAACAAAAGCTCTATGAATTGACACTAAAAGGCAAATGTTCAAAGTTCTAGTAAGTTTCTGAGAAAACAGCAAGCTGAAAAAAAACTTATAAATAGTGATAACATGCTCTGAGAAAGGTGCTTGAAAAAACAAACCTTTGTGACTAAAAGGTAAAGTAAGACGTAAAAAATGTAAGGAGAACTGGTTATGGTGCTCTGTGACTTTTACAAACAAACCAATGGTGGGGAGAAGGTGAAGTAGATGCAGGAATACGTCGCCATCCAAAAATCACCCACCTTCTGATTCTTTTATCTTTAATTCAAATTTGACCTTTGACATCCCAGCAATAACAGCATATCCCACTGCATCCTCCTGGATGATATTATTTATAGTGAGAGAATGCTTATTGTCCTCTGCTGAGATGGTGTATTTGTGACTGGGTAAGATGTCCTTGGATTCTCGCTGCCATTTCACTTTTACACCTGGCTTCTCAGTTTCAGCTTCAAATATGACTCTTGCCCCAATCTCAGCAGTCTGGGACTTTGGTTTCTTGCTGAAAGCTGAGACTGAAGGAGTGAGGGAGGTTCAAAAGCAAAGCATGAATTTACCAAACCTTAATCTCAAGATCATTTATATATGACATTTAAACCTTAGTGTGCACCAAACATTTCAAGTCCAGAGGTCTCAGTCTGCTTGTTTGATGTGCATTGATATGCAATCAGAATCAGAATCAAAAGTTTTATTGCCAGGTGTGTTTACACACACGAGGGATTTGTTTTCATAACAGAATTTTCCACAGTGCAACAAATTGACAGTGAAAGAACAAAAATTTAGATAGAAATGTTAAAAATAAGAATCAACACATTTGACAAACACATATACAGTATATTATTATATAAAACATCGTTTGTATGGTTACATTATGTGCAAATTAAATGTTAACTATATGTGTGCTGTTTATAAAAATAAAAAAATAGGTGTATTTGTGTATAAATAGTGTTTGTTCATGCAAATGGCAGCATTCACACTTCACATCGCACTAAAAGAATGATCACACCAGAGTTTGTTTTCACCAAACCATGCACACTCTGGTGCAGCTCTACTGAGATATGAACAAAGACATCTAAACGCCTCCAAAACAGGATATGATGTCAAAACATGCAACCATAATGCTAAAGCATCCATGTTTTTTTCTTGTAATAGTTATGATGTTGCCAAGCACAATTAAATGACGGCAGAAACACATAACAGATCTTCATTTGTGTGTTTGTGACTTTATTCTTGATTTGATATTGAGTCATTTATCATTTGTTTGTTTTGTATCTATACAAATTTAACTAAGCTCTTGAGCGTGAACACTTACTGTACATATGCCTTAAGATTTTGTACCATCAAGTGAGATGTCTCAGATAACAAGTAGATGAATATTTTGTTTTCAAATGAAGGGCAGGAAGTAAAAAACTGAATGGGAGACATGAGGAAAGTCCATATTTTTGCGATTTATACCATATTTCAAAGGAGATATAAATAGATAATAACCACATAAAATGGGTATGGTCCTTATATCATGAAGCGGGCCGAGTTTTCTACTGAACTTAAATATATTGGCCTGCCATCGAGGCGGTACATACTGTATGAGCTATTAGGTTACATGAAAAAACACTAGTGTTAATACTATAGCGGTTGGAAGCATACTACAGACCATTTTGAGGGATGTAAACAATAACAATAGTCCTAACGTATTTGTTTTACATTTTTAATTTCCATGGGTTCTGAGAATCCTAAATGATCCACATATTGATAAACATTGTTAGGACAGCTGTTTTAATGTTAAGATGTAATAGAATTTCCTCTTGTTACAGTTATTAAAACAGTTTGACAACAAGCAGGAAATGTTCATGGCATCACCACATTGAAATGGTCTATATATTGATAATTACTTGTATTGAACTGTCTTAGTAATTATATTGTTGTTGTGGTACGACACATCTGTAGTAACAAACAAATTATTTAATAGGCTTCAGTTTCTATATTTATACACCATCACAATGCACCACAGTTTACACTAACATTACAGTATTTATTACCGTTTACTGTGCTACAGTATTCGGTAGCATTCATTAACAAAGAGCCGTACACCTTATACACTTAACTATGTAGTTCAAAAACATGTTTATTATAAATTACGATAAGTTTTCCCCAAGTGGATATCTTCCAGACATCAGGAAACAACCGATGAAAGCATACAAAAGCCCAGACGCATACTCTACATTACTATTTATTTTTGTAAGGGGGAAAAGTGCTCCACAATAATAACCGTCTAGTTTTGTCAATGAACTTACCACGAACAAACATTCATCGCTGCTGCAAATAGACGTTAACATTACGGTTGTTTATTCCATCAAAATGCTAGTAAAGAGATAAATTATTGCAAAACTAGACAAAGATTTTATTACAACGATTTCATGGCAGGGTTCTCTTGGATTTTGTGTGGTGGTGTTTGTATCTGACTTTTATCAGATACAGTTTCTTGTCCCCCCTTCGTTTATAAGCAAAATCCTTTGGAAGTCTATATAAAAGGCGTTCTGCATTTCTTATTTTGGCCGATTTAAACAATTAGAAACAACATAAACCAGAAACATTTAAATGTTCTGATAGCGATTCCTACATAGAACATTCACTACCTGCCTTCCATCTGAATTTAGCACGTCATTGATAACGTTATGTGAAAACAACCTATAGCGGTGAGGAACAGTAAACGTGAAGGTTCTGGACTGACTTTGTGGCTCTCTGTGAAAACACATTAAATTGAAGCTTACTTACTGATCTAAGGCTTATAAAAGGGATGCTGACTTGTAAAAGCAAGTGGAATAGGAGAGTGTATGTCAGCTGTATAAGTATCTATGTCAAGCTTTAGTTGATCTAGTAACCAGTGTGGTGCTTGTAATTGTGGGCCCTATCATACACCCGGCGCAGTGTGGCGCAAGGCGTGGCGCAATAGTCTTTTGGTAGTTTCAGCTTGGCGCAAGAGTCGTTTTGAGGCAGCAAATGCATTAGCGCTCATTTGTGCGCCCATAGGCGTTCTGGTCTAAAAAGGGAGGCGTTCTGAGGCGGACCGCTGGCGCTTTGCTATTTTGAGAAACTATAATAGGTTTTTCATTAGACCAAAACAAACCCGATCTAAACTCCGACGCACAGTTGCGCCTCGCTTACGCACTACTTAATACGCACAAGAGAGCAATAGGCAAATATCTTTACATATGAAAAAATTTAAATATTAAGGATATATATAGGATATAATAAAAATAGATATAGGACATAAATATAAAGGATTAAAATATTACAAAACATATTATTTTCTAGCCTACATAAATATGAAAAATCACTGCTTTTATGTCTTCTTCATCTCGGGAGGCTTTTTCAGTTCATTCATAACAGTTTGCTTTTGTATAATGTTATTATTATTAGCAGTATTATTTATTATTTCCAAATTTATATTTGTTTTATTAAAAACAAGCTTAGATTTGCCCACCTGCAGGTTTTAGACCATATGGGGCACAGCATGTGTTTTAGGATATAACTCAGGTTTTTGAGCACATTTTGTTATTATTGTTTATTTATTCGTTTGCTGGAAATTATAACTGAATTTAGAAATAGTTTTGAAACGAATATTTGTGCTTAACAAACGCAATTATTTATTTATAGACTAATTGATGTCTGTGCGTAAAGGTTTCCCTATCCAAGAGTGAATGTGAAAGTAGTTCCATTATCTCTTATTCTCACGCAGTAGATGCTCTGTTTAACAGTTTTCTGTTAAAAAACTGTTAACTGTTAACTGTTTGCTAGTGAAATGCTCATTTTTTCCACTTAGACTTACTTTGCGTCCTGTAAATAGCGAATGCGCTCTTGGCGCGATGCAGCTGGCTCTTAAAGGGAATGGGAGATGAGACTCTAATTGGTTTATTCTCAAAACACACCTATAACTCATTAAGAAAATAAACTCAACCCTTTTAGACCATGTGCCATGGCGCAAAGCAGGTTTTCCCGTCCTTAAATTAGCAAAAATGTGTTCTGACACGCCCTGAAAGCATTTGCGCCCTGCGTTTTGCGCTCTGCGCATGCACCGTCAAAATAGAGCCCTGTGTCTTAAATCACAAATAGTAGGTATGTAGTTTGTAACTTGGTTTGCAACCATCAAAATAGTATGTTCTAATCATTATTTTAAATGTGTGTAATTCAAATGAAATTTTGATGGACTACATCTGACATTTTGCTTCTGTCATGTGACCTACATCTCCAGTTGCCTTGCTTTATTGTCCATCATAAATTCACAAAGTTAAGTGTCTGTTGTATGAGCACTTAAGAATTTCGCCAGACGTGTTAAGTCAGTTGAGTACTTTTTTGGGGGTACTTTTTCATGATTAGTGTGACATATTACTCAATGCTATTCCTTTTTAAATGCAAATTCTGTAAAAATGTAACAAATATTTGTGACTCGAGTCATACTGAAAAACGTAAAACATAGTTTTTCTAGCATGTGATATCAACTTAAGAAATATTTAGTACACTGTTTTTCTTTTTAACACTTGAAGGCGTTGCTGGAACTTGATCTTCATATCTATTGTTACACACATGCCTTAAATTATTAACTGCTTATTCATTGCTCTTTCTTGTAGTTGGAGTCACACATCTTCAATCACATCGATGCAAATGGTTCAAGCATAAAGCAAGCCAAGCCTCTGCGCTTAAAAATAGAGTGCATGTGCTCTCCATTGAGAACTGCGGTCCACGTCGACACAGCCACAGGTAGCTGCTAGATGGATTAGCTAGGATCTATTTTTGTTGTTGTTATCAAGCACTGGTCACTCTTTTGCCATTTCAGAACCGCTGGTATCTACATTGCCTTTGTTCCACACTACTAATGTCTGGATAGATGCAAGCAGTGACAGTCAACTAATGATGAATATGTGGTAAATATGCTTTGAACTGGAGGCATGAAAGGTAATAATTTTCACAGTCATAACGTGTCAGCCAGCGGTCAGTGGAGATCGTCAATGGGATGGGAAACTTTCTCATGAAGGTGACATGTTTATGTCCGTCACAAAGGTTACATTAGATGCTGATGGTTGGCGTCCAAATATTGACATCCTGGTGTGTCTAACACTCAAGAGTATTTAAAACAAAATCTGCCATCTGTTAAATCAAATTAAACTATCTTTGAGAGGTGTAAAGATGCCTTAAGTCTAGACTATAGCAATCATTCTCAACTTATTGGACCTGCTTTGTTCATATATACCCTATATGATGGTATATGAACCACTGGTATTTTGGTAGCCATGAAAATAAACAAGTATGTCATGGTGACTTCATTGGTTTTAAATCATTTTTAGACTTCTTGGGGTTCCTCTGGAAGCTTGCAGAGGCCCTCTATTTGGCCCCTGGTTTAGAACCGCTGGTTTAGAGCCTCTGAAATCCACCAATAGGGAAGAGAAAGTGTGAAGCTAAAATGACTACATGGATTTGGTTACTACCACTAAACTTCATTGCTTAATGCCGAAAAGTGATGCAACAGCATTGTTAGCATGCTCTTGGTCTTAGCGAATATCGCCACAGTCGGCTGTCACGAAACAGGTGGCATCACATTATTGCAATCTTTTAATTCCTGCGTAGGCAGGGTTATTTTCTCTGCACTTTTGGAAAAAAGCCCTTCAGCCCACGGCCATTATTCTATCACGTAAGCTTAGATACGATTTAGCAGTTTATACTAAGGATACTTTCAGTTTAAGTAGTTGCATGTTACAATTAAACACCTAATAATATTAATTACATATTAGATATAAGGTTGCACTATAATTTACAGTATATGTCTTACTGTGTACTTAAAGGTACGTAAATTAGTGGGTCATGCAAGGTACCATGGAATCAGGGGTAGGTTTAGAAATAGTGCCGAGTTATAGTACCCAGTTTTGTAATAACTAGTATAAGTATGCAGTATGTAATGTTTATATGCAAAACAGGACTGTAAAATAAAGTGCTAAGAATAGGGTTTGATTTAATGTTAGTGGCTTGTAATCACACAAAATTAGCTGTTTACTTTAGTTGCTAAATGTAAAATATGCAACAGGTCTGTTGTTAATATGTTTCTTTGTTTACAGTGCAATTTGTGCGAGAAAAACAATGCACAGATGCTTCATATATACAGTTGGCTTAGAAACAACAGCTGCAGAATGTAGTACAGTGTAAAGGAACATCCAGACAATGTTATGAAAATACTCATAGATCAAACTGATACTGCTAATTTTTACCTATATATTAAATTAGTATTTCTTATTATTACACCAAAAACCAAAGACACAGGAGCTGAAGTCGTATAAAAATAAAGTACAAATTGAAAAGTGCTTTTAAAGTTGTGATAAGGTCAGAGTTTAGAACAGAAATGTTACTATTTACTCAACCAACAATACAAAACCAATCTATTATACATGTGTTTGTCAGATAGAATCTACAAAATAAACACTGGCATACCTATTTTTTTAGTTGGCTCTGGCATCCTGGTTGAGTGTCCCTATTGGGTTCCAACAAACAGGCATTGTGGACACCAACAGCACCACTTCTCTTTTAATAGACACCCCACACCCCCACCCCCAAATGTCCCATGGAACATGCCCCAAATCATCCTGCCCACCCCGATGATCTGTCACTGAGCCCACTGTCCATCACCTCCACTGGATGACAGAACTCAAGAAGCTGAAGCAGGATAAGAAAGCAGGGCTAGATGAGGGTAAAATTAGAGTATGACTGCAACAAAGCAACTATACTTAAGTTGTTGTTGTTGTTGTTGTTGTTGTTGTTGTTGTTGTTGTTGTTGTTGTTGTTGTTGTTGTTGTTGTTGTTGTTGTTGTTGTTGTTGTTGTTGTTGTTGTTGTTGTTTGGAATTTCTAGGATACTTCAGCATGTATATCTATAGAATTGTATTCTGTTTTAAATCTTGCAATGAACAGGGAAGATTGCTTAAAAGTTGAGTAAATGTTAGTACAGTACATATGTAAAGTTTTTTAACGTTATTTTAACGTTATTTCAACATTATTTAACGTCAAATGATACTAATGTTCTTGGAACGCTTTTTATCAACGTTACAAGATTGTTCCAAAAACATTAATATCATTTGAATGGAATGTTCAAGAACAATAATATAACACGAGACTGAAACAGTATGAAATTGTTCTGAATTATCATAACCAACAAAAATTACAAAACATAGTCAAAAAAGGACAGGTGTTTTTAGAACTTACTCATGTTAGGGAAATGTTCATAGAAAATTTACTGTATGTATAAAATGTGCTAATAACATTTTAAATAATGTTCTGAAAACATTATTATAACATGAGACTTAAACTATGAAAACATTTTAAACAGCTTTATTCTAACCAAATATTAATGGTAAAATATCATCTAAAAACTGGACATTTTGAATGTTAAAAGAACATTAAGAAATGGGAAAAATGGGAACTTTAAAAGAATGTTTTAAACTTAAAATTTTTAGCCGAGTTCTGTTGTTAGCAGATAAAGACAATATACATGCACTTTACATGTAGCTACTTGGATTTTTCATCTCTGTTGTTATTGTTGATTTAAAACACACTAAACACCCTTGACCAATTATTATATGCATAGCAAGCCAATTGGAAAGTTTAAACTGGATGGGCTCAGAGATACAGACAGCTACTGTAATAAAAAGACAACATGACATGTTTAGTTCCACACTAGGGCTGACCCTTTCCTCATGCCATCAGTCAAGCATTCATAGCTTGACCTTTCTGTCAAGAGTTTAATGATAATGGTGCTTGTCTAGTGCACACTCAACTAGCATTGTCTGAACTCATTGTTTAATTCAGTTTATTCTTACAAAACATTCTGAAAAGCCCTTTGTAGGTTTTTGTTACTTCCATGAAAATGGAAATAGGTGATAAAGAAAATGCAAAAAATAAGTTAAAAATAAAATTAATGAAAAAAAATTAGATGAAAAGCCTAAATGCTGCTTAGTAAGTAATAAGCTGGAGTAATAAATTAATAAAACAGAAAGTAATCATATTAAAGATAATTAAAACATTCATGATTTTTTTTCCCTTTTTTAAATATTTCCCAAATGATGTTTAACAGAGCAAAATAAAAATTCACAGTATGTCTGATAATATTGTTTCATCTGGAGAAAGTCTTATTTGTTTTATTTCAGCTAGAATAAAGGAGCTTTTAATTTTTTTTAAAACCATTTTAAGGTCAAAGCTTTTATATAATTTTCTCGATAGTCTACAGAACAAACCAATGTCTTACAATAACTTGCTTAATTACCCTAACCTGCCTAGTTAACCTAATTAACCCAGTTAAGCCTTTAAATGTCACTTAAGGCTGTATAGAAGTGTTTTGAAAAATATCTAGTAAAATATTATTTACTGTCATCATGACAAAGATAAAATAAATCAGTTTTTAGAAATGAGTTATTAAAACTATTACATTTAATGAAATGTAAGTTTTTTTAGTTTACTATATTAATTAGTTATACAATAATTAATTGATTATAGCATTTTAAATAATACCAGGGTTAATGCTTTGCAACTGCTCCCCCTTTTTTAACAAACTTTCCCTAACCCTGGGACAAAAGAAGACACAAATCAACCTCAACAGCCACTCTATTCGCCGCCCAGACACGCTTCAAAATGCATTAAAAAAAACTCCTAATATGCAGCTCTGATGTCTTTTTGTATTTTTAAAAAAATCACTATTTATTAAATAACAGATTACTATTCTCTTCAGTTCTCTCTTACACATAAACACCGTCCGTCAGTCTGATGAGTTGTACTCTTTTGACCACTGCCATGCAAGCCTGTCAGCAGCTTGTCAATCCAGCATCAGAAAGTCACACTAGCTGTTGCATACTGACAACTGAAGGGGGATTCAACTTGAAAGAAAGTTATTTTTAGTTGTAATGGTTATACATTAAATTTAGACAGGGCTACATGGCTTTCTTCTAATCTACGTGCGAATCCAGCAGGGTCTGCCACAGCCGAACCACACTGAACTGCATTTTCAACCACTAGGAAATGGGGTCTAGAGTGATCTAAGTGCTTTCAGTCAAATGGTAAAATGTGTATTATCAAATATTTTTAAAAAGGTATTTAAAATATGCTATTAAAACTGCCTTGTTAAAGAAGTATTAAAATTATATGAAAAATATTTGTTTCTATGTTTGAACATGTGTATTTAAAAATAAAGTAAAAATACTGGTAGACTTCCAGAAATGCATATAATACTGTTAATTTAGTTTGTGTCTTCGCTGTACTACATTTATCAATGCACCTGTTTGGTTTTGTATACATTTTATGCAGATGAACTTCGCTACAAAATCATACCAATCAATCTAAAATGGTGAATTCTTACCATATTAAGCTATTTATTTCATCTGGTAACAATATACTCAATATCGCCATTTTTTTATTGCGATGTCAGTCTTTTCTAGTATCGAGCAGCCCATTTTAGTGTGTATATATATATATATATATATATATATATATATATATATATATATATATATATATATATATGGTTAAAATGTAAGCGATATTTCACAAAAAGAAGGGAAAATTCTGTCATCTTTTACTCACCCCTGGTCTGATCCAAAACTGTTTGAGTTTCTTTGTTCTGTGAAACACACAAAAAAACATTTAAAAGAATGTTGTAAAGTGGTAACTATTGACTTCCGTAGTAGTAACAGAAAAAAAAAAAAAACTATGGAAGTCCAATATTCTTCAATATATTGTTGGAATATCTAATCAATTTTAGGTGTGTTCAATAAAAAGGGCCAGGACAGGTTTTCTTCAATGTCAAACATAGTAATTTAATAGATGCAAATGAATAATTCGATTCACAGAATTCTGGTATTCTCAATGCAATGCAAGAAGGTCATTCAGGAGGTGCACAACAACGTTCATTTCCAGATTCAAGCTTTTTATACGTAGCTGATATTAACAGGTGGAGTTTAGTGGAGTTTGTCACTTGTCAATCATTCTCCAGTCTTTCATTGGCCGCACCCATACATGCGTCCTCTTTTTCTACAAATTCTCTGCACAAACTATAAAAGCATAAGACTTTCTCAACTGCACATATTCTGTGTTCAGATTCAACCCATCTCTACTAACAGAAAGTTTAGCTGCAAAGTTGAAGTTAATTTTAGACAATCAGGCCTTTGCATTTCTATCAGCTTCATCTACTTCTGCAAAAATTCTTCATTAGTATGCAAATCATATCTCACTTAAGAGAAGAAGTTCAGTTAATATGTCACCTTTAAGCAATACAAATACAATTGTTTAATGAAAAGAAGACAAAAATAATACAAAAAATATACATTTTCCACAATAACATACAGAACAAAAAACTCAGGTCAAAGGTGAAAAAATGATAACTAAAGTAAAAATTTTTTTGCTAAACTACCCCTTTAAATATATTATATACTTTATATATAAAATGTATGTATGTGGTTTAATATTACATACATATGGTTACACAATATATTTATAATCTATTTAAAATGTATTTTAGCCAGATAAAAAACACCAACTTCTTTTACTGTACAGTCGGACAAACTAATGGCTGCAACACAAAATGTATTTTATGTATGCACGTGATGTATTTGAGAGAGTATCAGTAAATCAAGCATACGCAGAGAATACGTGGTCGCTGTGACTGTCGTGTGCATTCAGAAGGGAGGGTTCAGCGCTCAGCAGCTACGAATAATCTGCGCCCTTGTCAGAAAGGTTAGAAAGTCTGCAGTCTGTCTGGAGTCACAAAGCAAAGATGAGAGCAGGCTGACAGGCTCCTTGACCTGCAACCAATGCCACAAAATCTTGCGTGTTGCGCGTGCCAACTTCGTTTAATCACAAAGAACAAACATTTCTTAAGTCCGGCTTCTTAAGGTGGCCATCTGCCCAGTTTTAGCTCAGACTGTCCAGCCTAGTGAGTCTTATGCTCATTTGTCCTCCTTTTGAGATTAAGATTAAGGCTACTTTTAATGATCTTATATTCTGTGCTCACACTTAGATATGAAGACCTGTTCTTCAAGTCTTTTGTGAATATAAATAAGAATTTAACAATGAAAACAATGAGCAAATGATTCCTGAAAATAAAAAAAAGCCTAAACTGTTTACTCACCCTCCACTTGTTCTAAACCTTCATGTGTTCCTTTTTATTTTGTTCTGTTGAACAGTGAAGATTTGACATCCATAAAATAATCAATAATATTGATAACTAAAAACATACTGTGGAAAAATACTAAATGGAAGATAAAAAAAACACATTGCTTTGGAACACAATGAGTAAATTATGTCAAATGTTAATTTTTGGGTGAATTATCCCTTTAAGATTTGTTGCCACCTAGTGGAGGTTTTAGTTCTTGTTTAAAAGGGTAGTTCACCCAAAAATGAAAGTTTGCTATTTATAAATTCAGGTTATCCATAATTCATCTGACTACTTTGATTTGACTGATTTATGCAAGACTTATCTGACTTTTATCCTCACAATGTAGTCAGTTGTCCTCTGTGAATAATAAAAAAATTAATAAAAAATAAACAATAAAAAAAAAAAAACTGTAGAGACAAAATAAACTCCTACATAGCTTAGGGTTAGGGTTTAGTAAATTTACAGCATATGTTTATTTTTGTGTGAATTACACATTTAAAAGTAAATTTTTCATATTTTCATATTTAAAATATTAAGCTATACCTTATTTAGGCTGTGTAAATACATCAAAATGCCTATACGTTTTTAGATGTAGTTTATGTGCTAACTTTGCAGTATAAAGATTGATTTTGTCTGATTTGCATTTATTGAATTCCTTTATGATTTTACAAAAATAGATCATTCAGCTGAAATAATTAATGATAGATTCAATGGTTCAGTCATAATTCTTATTCTATGTCTGAATTATTCATTCATTTATATTTTATTTTATATTAATTATAGTATATTAATTTGGGGTCGCCACAGCGGAATGAACCACCAGCAAATTTACTCAGCGTAAGCCCTTCCAGCTGCAACCCAACACTGGGAAACACCCATACACACTCATTCACACACATACACTATGGACAATTTAGCTTACCCAATTCACCTATAGTGCATGTCTTTGGACTGTGGGGAAAAAACGGAGTACCTGGAGAAACCCAAGCTAAATTGGCCGTGGTGTATGCGTGTGAATTCAAGAGTCTATGGGTGTATCCCAGTTTAGGGTTGTGGCTGGAAGGGCATCCGCTGTGTAAAACATATGCTGGATAAGTTGGCGGTTAATTACGCTGTGGAGACCCCTGTGTTTAATAAAGGGACTAAGCTGAAAAGAAAATGAATGAATCAAAATATTTAAGCTCTAAAAACTGTTATGGGGTGGTAAGTTTTCAAAAGCTGCACATAATTGTGCCAAAGGGACCCGGAACCTTTAAGGTGCATTTTAGTACCCAAAGTGTACATATTAGTACCTATAAAATTAAAGTATCTTTTTAAAAGTTCCACAGTGATGACAGTTTTTGTGCTTAAATGATTTAATAATGCTTCTAATAATGGCTATATCCCCTGTATTCTGCAAAGTGTCATAATTTTTTTTTTAATGACCACCCTACTTTAGAAATTTTCCTGAAAAGTGTAAAATACAGTTTACAAACTTAAGCGTTAATTAATCAACACACCTGCCTGGAACATTCTGGTATACCTAGAAAGAGCTTGATTAGCTGGTTCAGGTGTGCTTGATTGGGGTTGGAACTATGCAGGACACCGGATTTTTAATAACAGTAATTACTTATTTATTTTTAATTATTCTGTCACTTATGTTAGAATTATTTTATAATACAGTCATATCTATGCAAACTCATACATTACATAATTTACATTTCATTTGGTGAAATTTCTTTATCATTTTGTAGTTTTTCTCTTTTACAGGGACAGTTCACTCAATATTATACACCTTATAACACACCTGGGCAATAACAACGTTATATTGACATCAAAATAAATACAATACAAAAGAAAAGAAAAAAAGATTCTAATTATTCAAAGACAAAATTTAAGATAATTAACAGTTATTTTTGGTTTGTTTTTTATTTATTTTTTTTATCGTAGGTAATGATGACCTATTTTTATTTTAAAGTGAGTAAAATTAGGGTTGTTTCACTGCCCAATTACATTTATGAATAAAAAATTCCATACATACCCACACACACACGTGTGTGTGTGTGTGTGTGTGTGTGTGTGTGTGTGTGTGTGTGTGTGTGTGTGTGTGTGTGTGTGTATATATATATATATATATATATATATATATATATATATATATATATATATATATATATATATATATATATATATATATATATCATAAAAAAGTATCCTCACCTTTGGATTGGATTCCCCCTAGTGGTCTGTTTTGTAGAAGAAGAAGAAGAAGAAGAAGAAGAAGAAGAAGAGATGCAATAATCTCATTATCACGTAGTAACATATGAAAATACTTCGAGAACTACAGTGTCTATATTACATTACAGTGTTTATATTACCCAATATTAGACTTATTACTCAATTTATTGTAGTCTGCAGTTCTAAAACATCGAAATTGTTTGTTTACATTGAATTTTTAAACATTGTATTGGGCATATTTATTATAAGCGTTAATTTTGAAATACTTAAATTTTCAAAGTTAATAAATGCTATAGCGGTACAGCTTACCTTTTTCTAATTTAACAGAGAAACTTTTATGTTGAAACCACAGACGCTTTAATCTTCCCGGAAGTGTTATTCCGCAATCGAGCAGAAGAACATCGGATCTGTATATGACAACCCACACACAAGAGGGACAGAAATTATCTAGAGATCGGCAAAGGCGCATTGCTTTCCTGCATGTCCTGTGTTTCATTGTGGTTTCCTTTCATTTTTTTCCGGACACGTTATTGTTGCATCAGATAGTGGAAAATGGCAAGCGCAGGAGACGCAGGTAATATTTCTGTATTTACTTATTTAATTTGATTTGCAGTTTTCATTAGTGACATTGTACTCTAATGAACATTCACGCCTTTCCCTCTGGTTAGGCCTCTTTAAAGAGATTCATTAATGCTGTTTCTATTCAAAACTGCAGCTGTTAACTTACAGGATTTACCCACTGCTTGTTCTGCTGAGCCACTGCTTTAATGTAAACATGTATTGTTATAGGAACCAAAGTCTCTTCTTTTTCTGTGTATAACAGCTCTGTTATTAAAATAGCTCCATTTCTCTCTAAATACAGCTTTGACAAATAAGTCGAGCTGAAAGCAGGTAGCTGAATGACACACAAGGAGTAAAATGTCATATTTAACTTAGGGTATGAATTGACAGGGAACATCCCCTCCCTTCTTTAACTTTCAATTAATTTTTACACTAATTATTGGCATGATAATACTTGTAGGTCTTCAAGTAAAATGAGTGCTGAATAAAGTACAAAATGCTGAAACAGATTTATACAGGGCATACACACATCAGCATGATTTATACTGTACGTCTTTCTGTGAGCCAGATTTATAAGTGTTTTTGGTTTAATTAGGAGCAGGTTCATTAGTTTCATTTTTTTTCTTCATTTTTTCATTAGTTTCATTTTTTCTCAATTGCACATTTTATTGTGTCTTTTTCGTTCAATAGTATATGCACTTCTTAAATTCAAAGTATAATTGTTTAGTATTTATTAATATGTAAATGTACTACTTCTTAATATTTATCATTAACACTTAATAATGTTTAAAGTAGCTGTAGTGTTTATTAAAATTTCTAATAAGCTCTTATTATAATTCAAGTTCATAGTTAAATTTTAGAGAAGCTTAGATTTTTGTCCTTTTGTCGTTTTAATGATTTTAAAAAGTATTGTTTATTTTAAAATATGTGTATTATATTTTATACAACAGTTCTGTTTGGATCTCAAATCTGATTGGCTGATAGCCGTGATATATTTAAGTAATATCAGCATCCGTACAGCCTCTTTACCCTTTGTGTATTACTCCGCCCACATACAGCCAGCTACAAGCAGACACTACAGTTTGACAAATATTGCTGTGGTTGGACAACAAAATATACTTTTGAGGCTTTTTTTTAGTCGAGAATGTAGTTGTTTAGATCGCAACTATGCATTTTATTTGCAAGAATAGTGCCTATTTTAAAATATTTGCAATTTCTGAGAGCTCGTCAGCGGCCAAAGACGGTTGACGTTGTCTATCCACAAGATGGCGCCAGAACCGCATAATAAGCCCTTGCTCAGTGTGTTCTCTGAGCGCGAATAAAAAGCGGAAAAGCCTCATGGTTTTTAAGGTAGACCGGATGGAGTCAATAAGAAGCTGCGAATAAGAAGCTGGATTCAGCCTTGCCCCTTCTTATCGCAAACACAACAGCAGTCTGGTGAGAAATCTCTGTAGACGGATGGCATTTCATGTCACATTCAGCCCTATAATCTTAAAATGTGAGCAAAATTAGCTGTTTTTTTCATCACCTTAAGGGGTCCCACACCAGAAGCACCACTTCACATTACTAGACATCTATAGAGAATCATTCAAACACTAGCTCTAAAGTGACATTGGTGAATTTGTAACGGCTTCTGCTGTTCCGACATCAGCTGCAGATGTGAATGAATGGCGGAAGAAAGTAGTTCCTAATACAAAATGGTTTTAGACTCTCTGTGTTTGATTTTCTTTTTTATGTACAAGATTGTGCCGTCGAACTGTTGCATAAATGCAATATCACACTCGTAGCAGTGTGCTGTGGCTGTATATCACCACTGGTGGGGCCTTGTGCCATCCACGCCTCCCACCAGTGCTGATTTACAGCCATAGCACATTGCTACTCGTACTCGTATACATCAAATATATTATTATATTTTAGTCTTGTTAGTACACTAAAACCTAAAAGTGAAAATCACTAAATTAAACAAGTTACACTAAAAAAACTTTGCTACTTTTCAAACTACTTATTTAAAATAAGTTGAAAAAACACAATTCTTTCAGAATTAAAAGAGTATTTTAACAATGACTGAAGCAACAAAAATTAGAGGGTCCATTGAATGGCAAAACAACTTTTTGGCCTATAAATTTTCAGTGGCAAAATAGCTTGAATATCAACAGACTTTTAGATTCCTATTGTTGTTCATTTCTGCTGTATGATTGGCTCTTAGATAAATATAGAGTAACAAAGTTTATCATTGAGCTTATCATTACTATTGACATCAATTTTATTGCGATTCGATATAATATCGTTTATCAGCCCAGCCCTAATGGCAATATAGTTGTTTGGACTTAATCTGTTCTGAACTGAACTCATACCATTTTAAAAAATGAACTTAAAAAGTTGTTAATTCTCTACATTTTTGATGATATCAGCATAAATATTATATGTACGTATATTACTTAATGTTATGTAAGTTTACAGTACTCACACCATTTTGTTTTTAAAACTTAAAAAGGTGTTCAGCAATCAGTTTCCTCAAACAGTATGAGTCAACTTAACATACTGGGTTTTACAGTGTATGTCAATTTAATTTAATTCTTTCATATGGTGGCATTTGACATTTTGAATGTGATATTATAATCAATTACTCAAGCCATTTTTTCATGTTTACGTCAAGATCTTTTTATGACTTATTGTATTTCAGCTTAATTTCAATGAAAATTATTTTAATACACTGTAAAACCCAACAGTCAACTTTATAAAATAAAAAAGTGTAGTTAACTCAACATTGACTGAAAGTTAATTCTTCTCATTTGGAAGTAGTTTTGAACTCAGTATTAAATGTAATGAAATAATTAAATACCTCATTACCTCAGCTTAATTGGAGTAAGTTCAGAGTACCCATATAGATTAGATTTTTAACTCAAATGGTTTATAGCAGTCGGTTTCCTCAAACGGTTTGAGTTGTCTTAACTTATTGGGTTTTACAGTGCTCAGTTGGTTTGAGTTCTCTTCATTTATTGGGTTTTACTGTGCTCAAATTGCTTCGTTTACTCAAATGGATTAAGTTAACAGAACCCATTAGGATTAGTTTTTAAACTTAAATGGTTTGTTGCAATCGGTTACCTCAAATGGTTTGAGTTACCTTAACTTTTTGGGTTTTACAATGTTGTAGAAATAAATATTTTTATTGTCACAGAGTTAATTTGTTTATTTGCATCATGTCAATATGTTCCATCTTTAGTTGCATAACCACTTCAAATATTTAGTTTTTCATTTTTCCATTTGACTACAAGCTAATTCTGGAACGTACCCTCAATTATTAAGTTAATTGACATAGTTATGACTGTATTGTTGCTTAATTGTGTGTGTGTGTGTGTGTGTGTGTGTGTGTGTGTGTGTGTGTGTGTGTGTGTGAGCTGATTATGACAGCTTACGTTTGAGAGTGCTGAGGTTAGAGAGGATTACAGGTGTCATCATCACAGTCACTCTCTATGGGCCCGTAGCACTCTAACGTCTGCTCCTCTGTGTCTGTGTGTGTGTTTTTGTGTGTGTCTCTCTATGCCCTTTTGTTTTCCCAGCCTTTGATTATGGCTTCTTATTGCGCATAAGTGAGGATTCTCGCTTGGTTGAGGCTCTGAATGAGTACTTGAGCAGTCGCAGTTACCTGGCTGGCTACGGGCCCTCGCAGGCGGACGCAGAAGCCTTTGCGCTTCTCTGCAGGCCCCCACCTGAGCGCCATGTCCATGCCCTGCGCTGGTACAAACACATAGCCTTCCTGAAGCCCCAAGCCAATGACCAGAGCCCAGAATGCAGCAGTGAGTAGACAGAACTCAGGGTGCATGAACGTAGGCCGTAGCTGTAGCTTTCGTACTTTGAGTTAGTGGTTTTTGTGCGGAGGATATCTGCAGTGTGTGTTTGCATGAGTCTGAGGGTGTGTTAGTGTACATAAGCTGAGGTGACTGACTATTTACAGTCAAAACAAGACCGTCCCTCAAGTTTGCTCTGTGCAGGAGAGGAACGGGTTGAATCACTGGTGATTGTTCCTTAATGAGGTGCTTGTGGTTTAGACACAGGGTTTGTTTGCACATAATTTTGTTTCACTTTCACAGTCATATACATCCATGTTTTCTGTTTTTACGGGCGAGAAAGAAATCCCCCATACAGCGCCCTGCGCTATTATTGTCTCCCTTAGTAAATGTGAGCAAAATAGGCTATAAAAAAGATGTTTTTGGCGTTTCACTCAAAATATTAACAATAAACTGACATGCTTTATTTGTTTTAAACTCTTTCAGCAATTTGTTAGGATAGTTAGTTAGTTAATTAGTTAGTTAGTTAATTAACTTTATTTGACCCCGTAGGGAAATTTCATTTGCAGCATACATTCACAGAGACATCTGACATTTCATATTTGGCATATATATATATATATATATATATATATATATATATATATATATATATATATATATATATATATATATATTTATTTTTTTTTTATTTTTTTTTACACATATATATACACATTTATATTTACATATATATTTACATATATTTATATATAAATAAATAAATAAATCACATAAAAACATGTTACCCCTACTCTAAATAAATATCCAGTCTACTGGCCATCAACTGCTTCTGATGGAGGAGGAATTAAACACAATATGAACAACCTGATGGTAACAATTGGAAGGCGTTTAATAAAAGATGTCTCTCAGGATTGGCAACATGATTGCTTTATTTAGTACTGTTTCTTATACTATCAATGCTCTTTAGTTTTATTCACAACAACTTACTGGCTGTTGTTACCATCTTCCCCAGTGACCTCTTCTGGGCATTACCAACAGATCACACAAAATGTTGCAATACACTATAAAAAGCACTATAAAACATGATCAACAATGTGTTGTCAACATTAAAAGACAATAGTTTCTTTTAGAAGCACATTCTCTGTTGAAGATTTTTCCTTACACCAGGGATGTCAAACTCAATTTCTGGAAGGCCGCAGCCCTGCACAGTTTAGTTCCAACCCTGCTCTAACACACTTATGCTGCAGTCACAGTAGAGTTTGTGCATGCAAAATTCTGTCGTATGGTGCTACAAAAATGGGGATTGCGATTGGTCCATGTTTTACATTTCTGTCTAGAGGTTATGTTTTGATCTTCAATTGGTCTCACGTAATCATGTTTGATTCGCAGGTCAGAGTTCACCAAGCTTAAACTTTCCAATGCAGTGAACTGCAAAACTTCTGGTCCAACGCATTCATGTGCGTATAAATGGAAGTCTATGGGGAGAAAAGTGCAGTGTGACCGCAGCTTTACCTGTAGGTTTCAAACAAGCCTGAAAGACTCAATTAGTTTGATCAGGTGTGTTTAATTAGGGTTGGAACTAAACTGTGCAAGGCTGCGGCCCTCCAGGAATTGAGTTTGACATTCTTGCCTTACACAGTCTGCTCATACATACCACTTAAGTTTATTGTACAACATCACCCCCAAATATTTATAATTTGTTGTTACTAACTGAATTTCCTCCCTTTTAATTGATGTGGGATGAGTTTTGCTTTGTGTTCTCTCTCTAAAATCAATAACCATCTTTTATTCTTTTGTTTGACCAGTTTTAGGAATGTTTAGGAGAAGGTTTGAATTTTCATACCAGTTTAAATGAAGTCAAGAACTAGTGTTCTTACTTCTCTTTATTTAAAAGGTCACTATAGTGGAAACCTCTGCACACTTTAACAATATTTCTGTTTTTAAATACATTTATACAAGAATTTGTATATATTAAATAAAAAATAAATTATGTAAGATTGTCATCATTCTGACATCATCAATCCAGAGATGCCTAAACTAGGGTCAAAGTTGGCCCAAGGTAACCACATTTGGCCCACCATCCCATCTGAGAAGAGAGGGAGGGACTGCTTAGAGATAGTCTTTTCAAATCTAATGTAATTTTAAGTTTGTTTTATTGTTAAAAGCTAATTGAAATTAAATTGTTTCAATTAAATATTGTAAATTAATCAGATTTAGTTTAAATGTAACTGATGGATAGAGGACAATGCAGAGACTTTCGTAAGCAAATCAAGGCAAATTCTGCTTGACTAGTGTATTCAGCGTTGAACACTGTTCACTCTTATGTGTTATAATGTTAGAGTTATACTGCATTAGTTAATACAAATTACAGTAATGTTTTCTATTTATTTTTTTATTAGGAAGTACATTAGGAAATACCCATAGCAACTTAAATGTAATATAGGTTGATATATTTACCTTCGGCCAACAGCTCATAATGGTATTTGTTTTTTGGCCCGTTATACGAAAAAGTTTGGCCACTCCTGCTCTAATGGCTTTTTGCCCCCTGAACCTCATCTTTCAGGCTGATTTAAAGCACTTCCTGTTGAGTGGAATTTCTTAATTATTGCCCTCATGGTGGAAATAGGTATTTTTAGCCTGATCTTATGAGGAACACTTTTCGCTAAAAAAACTATTTTTATCAAAGATTAATCGTGATTAATTCAAAATAAAAAGTTTGTTTTGACGTAATATGTATATGTGTACTGTGTATATTTATTATGTATATATAAATACATACACATGCATATATTTGAGAAATATGTTTATGTAAATCATATAAATTATATACTGTATACATTTAAATAGCTATGCAACATAAGAATGATTGTATAGTTTTGTATATATATATATATATATATATATATATATATGTATGTATGTATGTGTGTGTGTGTGTGTGTGTGTGTGTGTATTACATATTCATAATAAATATATATAATAAATACACACATATGTAATGTCAATATTTTTTTATTTTTGGATGTTATTATCTATAATCAAAAAAAAAAATTCGTACAAATTGAATTAATTTGTACTAAACGCGTATGATTATTAAAAGGAGGTTTGCTGCCAAATCCTAGTCCTCAAGCCAACCATTATGAGCAGGATGAGCATTGATACTAAAATGAATGAATGAGATCATACGAATTAACCACTGAATAAAAACAAATTGCTGTAAGATCGTGTTGGCATTTTCAGTTTTTCGCCATTACGGCCACTTGTGGTTTTGTGATGCTTAACAACCTTTCACTAAAAATAACAATGATATTATTGCCCTTGGCTTTATGATTGGCCCATTGTTTTAGTAGTCACCCAGGTGTAAATGTAAAACTATCAGTATTGCTCATGAGTTGAATTTGTGTCAATTCTTGTGGCACACACATATATTAAACAAAGATATTTGTCTTTTAATAAAACATGCTGTGTTTTAAGCAAAAGATAAAAAAGATTAAACAAAGACATTCTTCACTGTCTGCTTTGTTCATTTTTACCAGTTTTACTGGAGGGTACTCTGTATCGCAGCAGGTGTGCAACAACAGCTATTTCCCATGGTGCACCTGTTGTCTCCACACACATGCTAGAAAAGAAAGTGAATCATTTTTGTACTAATCAGTCATTTTTTTTTTTTTTTTTAAATGTCTGTGTTATTTTTCAGCGAAGGGAAAACGGGTGCAGCCACCATGGTCTCCTCCAGAGGGAACAGACATTTCAAAGCTACGTCTTTACAACAGCCTCACGCGCACCAAGGTACGATTTGAAAGATATATAACACAGCACATTGCTGTGAAATACACTACTGATTGTGTAATACTATTTTGATAGCTAAAAGCATATTTAGAGTAGCAAAGTAGCCAACAAATCAGCATGTATTGTATGTGGTTAGTAGTAGGCAATATTTGTATCATAACCCTGCTCGTAATGGTTGGGTTGAGGGCTGGGATTTGAGAGCAAACCTTCTTTTAATAATCATACGCTTTTAGTACAAATTAATTCAAATTAGTTTAATTTTGTATTTGATGAAATTAGTTTTTCTAATAATAGATAATCACATCCAAAATAAAAAAATTGACATTACATAAATGTGTGTATTATATATATTTATTATGTATACGTAATACAAAACTAAAGTATGTGGTTAGTAGTAGGCAATATTTGTATTTGTGAAATGAATACTCAATTTTCAACAACAAAGAATTAATTTGATCAAAAAAACTGAATTCAGTGACCATCTAAATTTTTAACAACCATTACCTGAGTCTTCAGTTGCACATGTAATAATTCTAATTTGTTATTTTAAATCGTCATAGTTTCCCCCAAATTACAATTGTGTTAGGGCTGGGGTTGTTGTTATTACAATAGTACATTTTTAGCCAGATAATTGCAGCTCTGATGATAGTAAATAGTAAAGAATCAGAACATTTTAAGTCAATATGTAGTGCATGTTTTAGCCGAGTTGTTTTTCTTAAAGGGTAAATGATTCTAATAGTGAACTTACTGGACCTACACACAGAAGCATGAGAAAAATGGCAAAGACTTTTGCATCTGAACTCGTCAAATATACGGAGCATATTATAAGAATTTAAACATTCTGCTTTGATGAAAACAACAGCAAACATTAAATTCTGCATTTATGTTGTTCTCTAAGATTTATTTATTCTGTAAGCATTTCATTTATGTCATCCCATAATGAATTCTTCATCAATACTACATTTACATTTAGTCTTTTAGTAAAGCACATTTTTTTGGACTGTCCTGTTTTTAATGATTCCAGAAGACTTTTTTATGATATAAACTCTCTTTTAGGACATTTTTATCAAAGTGACACCAGGATTTTTTTTTATTATGTATTAACACTAAATATCTTATTTAATTCATGTATTCATTTGTTTGTTGTTTTTAATTGTATATTTATTATTGAAATGTTGTCATGAAAATAGCCTTGGTTGCTGACATGGCATTAAATAAAAAATACATTACATTACATTTAGTATTTTGACCAAAGCAACTTACAATTGAGGAGGCATTTAGCGATTTGGCAAAAAGAGGCAATACACACAAGACATGCTAATTATACAAATTAACTGTTAGTGCTCGGAGAATTAAGTGTGGAGAGTAAAGAAAAGGGAGTTTTTTATTAGAGAGAAGAGTGTTTCTTCAGGTGGTTTGTCAAGCCCACTCACTTCATAAATGCACTTTAATGAAGTGATTGTAAGAAAGTGTCAGGTGCAAATGTGCAAAACTGGTGCAAGTATCTGCTAAAGTGTCAAAGAGATGAAAGTGTGTGTTTTATACAGGTGGTTTGTCAAGCCCACTCACCTGTCCAAAGCACAATAAAAAAAAAGTACAATATTGTTATTTTATATCCACAAAGTGCTATGCACTATCCAACGTCTACCGTATATGTGTTTGCCATAAGTAATGTGTTCTACAGTATGTCATGCTTACAGACCTTTCACCAGTGCAACATGGTTGAGTGCCGGGCAAGGTTAATAACTAAAAAACAACTACAGAAACAACATTAGTGGGGCAGTTCACAAAAGCACAATTTACTCTCTATGCTCTGCTATTTGCATCATTAGTAATGAATAGTCTACAAGGAAACTGCCATCTTTGTTGACTGCAAGAATACAAATGAAAAATATTAATAGTTTTTTTTAATTGTTTAAATAGGGTTGTACAATACATCATTTCACTACCTAAATACTAACCCCCAAACCCCCCCACCCGAAAAAAAAACGAAAAAAAAGTCAAATACAGCTATTTGAAACATCTGGTGAAACTGTATTCATATTGCAATATTTATCGCAAAAAATAAAATACTGCAATATCAGATTTTTCCAATAACTGCAGCTCTGGTTTTCATTCATTCATTCATTCATTCATTCATTCATTCATTTTCTTTTTGGCTTAGTCCCTTTATTAGCTCTTTTTTTATCATCAAAAATGTTGATTGGAATCTGTATAATAGCAAAAAACTCCATTTATCAATAATATCTATGCTGTTTTATGTTTTACAGGAGGTGTTTGTACCGCAGAAGGGCAACCGGGTTCTGTGGTACTGCTGCGGCCCCACGGTGTATGACGCTTCTCACATGGGTCACGCCAGGTGACATATTCCTCATCCATTCACAGAGTTTCTTCTTTGTTTACAGCCTGACAATAGACATAGCACAGTGGTCAATGAAAAGGCTGAAACAGACATTCAGGCATTCAGTCCCGGCTAATGAATTGTTCGTTTGTGTATGTGAGGCTGTAAACCAAATCACAAAGCACTCCGGGCTGCAGTGTTTGAATGCAGTTTGATGAGCAAAGAGAGCAAGAATAAATCAAGTTTTCCATCCAAGGCTCATTCAGCATTTGTCTTTATGTATGGGTTCTCTGTATTTGACAACGATTCAATGTCCTTGTTCTTTCAGGTCCTACATTTCTTTTGACATACTTAGGAGAATACTGAAGAACTATTTCAAGTATGACGTCTTCTACTGTATGAACATCACAGACATTGATGACAAAGTAAGAGAAGTGCTTGCGCACAATCTGTACAGTTGTCGACCTTAACCCATTAACTGTGGCCGCCACTTACATGAAAATTACATGTTCAACTTAAATCAGGGGTGTCCAAACTCGGTCCTGCAGCCTCGGTGTCCTGCTGAGTTTTAGCTCCAAGAAATTTTTAGTATATCTAAGAGCTTGATTAGCTGGTTCAGGTGTGTTTGCTAAAGGTTGAAGCTAAACTCTCCAGGTCAACGGCCCTCCAGGACCGGGTTTGGACACCCCTGACTTAAATACATGCCAATCTTCAGTGCTTTAGTGCATATGTAGTGCCTAAAGAAAATCATTATACGCCTTTGAAATAATGACTTTATTTGTCACACAGCCTGAAATCAAATTAAATTACAAATAACTTTTCCAGCCTTTAGCCTTTTCCTAACTTGTTTCTTTCTACAACTTTATTCCGATGGTCTTTTGACAGCAGGGTGTAATGTAAGCAATGGTATAGATTTTTACAGTGTATGATGATCTTCTATACACTCTCAGAAAAAATGGTACAATGTTGCACCCAAGAAGGTACAAACCCTTGTCACTGGTGAAGTACCTTTTTGTGGAACATAGTTGTACCTTAAGACAAAGAAACAAATTTGTACCATTGCAGTTTGTACCTTTAAGGACATGATTTGTACCATGGGAAACCAAAATGTACCTTTGGTTTTTTTTTAAAACCAGCAATGCAAAAATTTACCTTAATCAAAGGTAAAAATCTGATCCATGAAGGTATCACTACAGTGACAAGACACTGTACCCTAATAGTGCAAATTTGTTTCTTCAAGAACTATTTAAAGGCATTTTGCCATATCAAAACTGTTTAATTTATTTACAGTAAATATAAAACATCAAAAACATTTTAAACAATGTTTAAACAAAATTTCTGTTTGTGTAAATGCAATAGAATTAAAGAATAAAAAATACTTTAACATTAATCAAAGGCTGTATTTTTTGCTTAACATTTCACACTTTTACAAAAATGTTACAGAAATACATTCTCCCATGCACAGTATAAAACATTTTTTTTCTCCAGTTTTCACACAATACTTTGTAATCACTTAAAAGTTATTTGATTGATTTGATTTTACAATAGAAATAGAATTATGCAAAAGTATTGTAATGAGATGTGCACTATGTTTGATTAGTTTTACAATACTAAGATGTCTGCATGAACACTTTGCATATGCAGGACTTTTGCCAACTCACGTTTGAGTGGAAAGCAAAAGCCTAAACAGTACAACTTGTACAAAGGTACAAAACTGTTCCTTAAGGAGCATTATTTGTACCACCGTGTACCTTTTTTTTCTGGGAGTGTAGGCACTGCATTTAAACTTGGTCTCATATCTAAAGAAGATAAAAGTCAGATTGTAGCCGAGGTGAAAAAACTTCAACAAAACAAACATTATGTGCCTTTAAGGTTATGAAAATAATAATAAAAAATAAATGTGTGTTTTATAAAATATGTATTTGTATACATATATGTATATACAAAACCTGTTTTAGCCTTGTGCCTTTTATTTTTTGAAGTGAAAAGTTCTTTTTCAGAATTTCTTGGTTCAAGAAACAGTTTCCAATGTACAGTATTTCCTCCTTCTCTACCAAAAACAAAGCCTTTAGTGGTTGAATGTGCTCTAATCTGTCATGAGAATGCTTTCCTATCACACATTACACACGTGCACTACATACTGGCAAAACTAGGGTAATGGGCAAAAATCTGGATGTGCCAATTGATTTATGCTCAGTTGTTTGTGATAAAAGAAACCAGTTTAGTGCATTTGCATGACTACAGTCTTTGTCAGCTTATTAGGCATAATATGTTTTAGACTGTACCCTGTGTTCTCGAGATAAAATCACCAGTGTGACCTCTTTGTTTCAGATCATCAAAAGAGCTAGACAGAATTACCTGCTGGAGCAGTACAGAGAGAAGAAGCCCAGTGCCGCTCAGATCCTGCAGGATGTGTTAACAGCGCGAACTGTAAGCTACTCAACTCACTGTCTGAGAAGAAAAGTGCCATTTGGTCAAAAATAAAATATTGTTATCATTTATTCTGAATGAAAGAGTTCAAACCCTGAATGAGTTTTCCTTGAAAAAGATTTGTAGTTGTATTTTTCGTCACTCATATGAATAGATCACATACATAAAAACAACACTGATCCAAACTTAATATTTTTATTATTATTTTTATTCGAGAAAGTTTTGATATCGTTCACAATAGGGAAGAAAGGTTGTATGTCCATTTCATATAAACCTTGGGTTTGTTCAGGTCTATCTCTGATTCCACTAAACTCATTTTCAGTCATTATCAGTGTGCCTTGCTTTAAGGTTGAGCAAATTCTCCTAGTGAACATTAGCACAATAATAAAGATTTATACAAGCTGCTAAAGTACTGACAGAGCTGCCAGTAACTAATGAAAACAAATGATTTTCTTCTAACTAGCTCTGAAGACAAAATTAAAGCATGACGGGCTCAAACAGTTAAGGACTGGCCTTTCTGCAAATGTTTTCATAGCTTTTTTTCATCTCTTTCCACACCACTGTGCTTTAATGTAATTTGGTTTTATTGTGTTTAGCCTTTTAAAGCCAAGCTTGCTGAGACTACTGACCCAGATAAGAAGCAGATGCTGGAGAGACTAGATTCAGCAGTAGATGCCGCTCTGGGTCCCCTGCAGGTGGCAGTGCAAAGCAAGGCTGCGCAGGATTCAATTCAGAAGCAGGCACAGGTACGTCTTTTAAAAAAAACATTTTATGTGACCCAGTTTGATCAGCAGCATGTGACTGATTCTGTTCCAAAACATACAGCTGATGTCGTTCCGTGGCACATTATTGTGTCTTTTTTTAGGTCTTACTGGAGGAGGCCAAGGATCTTCTGTCAGATTGGTTAGACTCGCAGTTTGGGAGCCAGGTGACAGAAAACTCCATATTCTCTTTACTGCCAAAGTACTGGGAAGGAGAGTACCATAAAGACATGGAAGCCCTGAATGTGAGTGAGCTAACATTGATGGGATATTCAATCACTTTAAAATGAAACGAATACGTTGTTTGTGTATATACTGTTGTTCAAAGTTTTTAGGGTTACTTTAAAAATGATCATGATCAAATTATCACAATTAATTGTAAATCACATTTCTATTAAAGTGTTATTTCATTTATTTATTTACTTATTAAATAATAAGTAATATCTACTCAACCTCATGTTGTTCCAAACCCGGAGATCTTGGTTCATTTTCAGAATAGAATTGAATCATTTTAGATTAAAAAACAATAATAATATAACAAAAGAGATTCTATAGAAAAACAAATCGACCTGTAATTGGAATATTATCAAGCTATAAGAATACTTTAGTGATACTTTATCTATATTACTATTATATAGAATAATACTTTATTCTATATTTTCCTCCCCTCAATGTCAGTATAGGGTGCACTTTCAAGAGCACTCCAGACTAATGTATACCGCAGCTGCCAATGCGACTTCCTCTTTTTTTAAAGAGGACCTATGATGAAAATCAACTTTTGTAAGCTGTTTGGACAGAACTGTGTGTAGGTATAGTGTGTCCACTGTCATATTGGAGTGATCTAAACCAAACAAATCTTTTTTTTTTATTTCCTGACGTTAAAATAGGACCCCAACCCCAGTGATTTTGAGACCCATCGCAACGTGTCATGGAGTGTGGATTTCCCCACCCACCAAATTGATTAATATGCACCATGTTTCTATACTTTACACTTTTTTGCCAAAAAAAAGTGGAGTTAAAATATCTGTTCCAACTCTCTCTCTGATTTTTATAAGTTTTGTAAGTTTTAAGTGTCTTTAAAACGATGGGCAGGGAGAAGCAGCTCATTTGCATTTAAAGCCACATGCTACAAAAACAGCTACACTGTACTCAGACACCAAAATGAGCAGATTCTGCAGGCTATAATAAATAATCTGATGAGTATTTTCAGCTGAATCTTTACAGACACATTCTGGAGACACCAAAAGCTTATCTTACATCTTGTAAAAGAGGCAAACTAGGTACCCCTTAAAAAAAAGCACAGACACATGATATGACCAAGTGTAACATGCAAACAAGAACACAACGCTCTCATGAATGCACAACCTGTGCCCGCAATAAGAAAGTATAATAATAAGAATTATTCTTGTAGCTTCATTATTGTACCTCTACAGGCATATGGTCTGTTTTGAGGATGTTTTTTGTTATTTTTCTGGACTTTGAACGAGTCGGGACCATCTGTGGGCAATGACGGAGCTCTTGGATTTATTCCAAAATATTTTTAATTTTAATCTAGGCTAATCGTTTTGCAAAGATAAACGAAGGTGGCAGGGGTTGGGAAAGACATAAGCAGGAGTATGAGGAGCTGGAGCAGGAGAAATTTTCATTTCACTTCATTTTTGGGTGAACTAACCCCTTTTAATGCAGGTGTATATTAATTTCTAGAAAAACAATTACATTTGTAAAAAGTTATTTAAATATTCAGATTTTAGATGTAATAATCAATAAGACTTTTTAAGATTTGTTGCTGAACACAAAACTAATCCTATTTTATGTGCTTTTTAAGTGGCCATCCATGATCATGCAAATTTGTGAAAACATGTTCATTCTAAGCAGTGCTGTTTTTGTTTGGCAGGTCCTTCCTCCTGATGTACTCACACGGGTCAGTGAGTACGTACCAGAGATTGTGGAGTTTGTCAAAAAGATTGTGGACAATGGTTATGGGTAAGAATAAAACTTCTTTCTCCATTGATTGATATATTTCCTTGAGTATTTTGCAGAATATAAAAGAATGAATTTCTGCTCTTTTTTTTTTTTGTAAGGTATGAGTCCAATGGATCTGTATATTTTGACACGGCAAAGTTTGATTCTTGCCCTGCTCACTCTTATGCCAAGCTGGTTCCAGAGGCTGTGGGCGATCAGAAAGCTCTTCAGGAGGGAGAAGGTATAGGAATAAATTGCAATATACTCTTTAAAATTGTTTATGCTTTAATTATTTATTTGTAAACATGTCTATCATTATCAACTATTCAATTGTCTATAATATCTATGGAAAACAGATGTGGAATGTCAGTGCAATATTATATATATATAATAAATCTCGATGCACAGCAAAAGAGCACATTGATCAGAAAATGCATAATAAAGATGAGCAGTGAAATCAATGAGCCAGAATTATCCTCTGTATAACACTAAATTAGGAAAGGATGCAGTTGCTTATTTGCTGCCTTTTTATATTCACTAGATTTTTAAATGTTTTTTTATTTTATTATTTTTACCATTTCTTTTCTTGCTTATGCAGGAGACTTGAGCATCTCAGCAGATAGACTCAGTGAGAAAAGATCACAGAATGACTTTGCATTGTGGAAGGCCTCTAAGCCTGGGGAACCATCCTGGGACTCCCCTTGGGGAATGGTGAGTGATGACCCCTTGGTCTTCCCAGATGTGTATGACTGACTTTTCTCAACCAAAGTGAAATCAATGTTTTAGAGCAAAATGTTAGAGGACTTTTTTTTCTTGATTAATTGCAAGTGAATGGTCCTCAACATGTCAAGACTGTTATTAATGGTCCAGAATACATATTTTGGCGGTTATTCCGTAAAAAAAAAAAAAACAGGCTAACAAATAAGGAGAATTCTAGATTCTGAATTACGCTTTTTTTTTTTTTTTTTAAATGTAAACATTATGTAAAAATTAACTTTCCCCAACACTAGTGACAAGTATCACTAGTGTTGGGGAAAGTTAATTTTATTATATCATGCATTACAGTATTGAGTTACTCCCAAATTAAGTATCTAGTTGCATTACTTGGTTACCTTTTAAGTTACTTTTTTGTTCCTTTTGCACTTCTTTCAGAACTTGCAGGGTTTTTTAAATGGAGGAGCTCTAACAATGCACTGTATGACCTACACCTTCATTTACCTTTAAAAAAAACTCACAGATTAACAATAATTTAAGATAATGTTATCTTCTGAGAACTTCCTGACCCCAGAGCTATACATACCGTATAAACAGATTAATGAAAGTTTAGTGCAATTTGTTTGCTACTTTTGTACTTTTTATCATATTAGTAACATAAAATCACTGTCCATTAAGACAATGCTCTGTTTCTTTCTTTTTTTTTTTTTGATGCTTTTAAAATGATGAACGCATTTTCTGCTTGAAAATAAAACTCGCATTATATTAAAAAAAGAAGTAACTCAAACTCATTCATTCATTCATTTTCTTGTCGGCTTAGTCACTTTATTAATCAGGGGTCGCCACAACGGAATGAACTGCCAACTTATCCAGCTAGTTTTTTACGCCGCGGATGCCCTTCCAGCCGCAACCCATCTCTGGGAAACATCCACACACACATTCACACACACACACACACACACACACACACACACACACACACACACACACACACACACACACACACACACACACACACACACACACACACACACACACATACACTACAGACAATTTAGCCTACCCAATTCACCTGTACCGCACCTGGAGGAAACCCACGCGAACCAGGGAGAACATGCAAACTTCACACTGAAACGCCAACTGATCCAAGGCTCGAACCAGTGACCCAGCAACCTTCTTGCTGTGAGGCGACAGCACTACCTACTGCGCCACTGCTTCGCCCCAGTAACCCAAATATTATTGCTTAATTTTTTAAGTAATGCATTACTTTAATCGTTACTTAGAGGTGCAGTATTCTAGTTTGACACTCAGTGGTTAAACTTGGGATTGCGTTTATTTTGATCTAGAAGTGCAAGCACAGGTTGCCAGATTGATGACAGGAGCAAATGATTTAAACAGTGTTTTAAATAAAAGCAGCGGCACACGATAGAAGGAATATGATCAATGAAAATGACCACCTCAGGTGGTAAACCTAATGTGCTTTGTTCAGTGTTAAATGCTAACAATGTGAGTTTGAATGCCATATTACACAACATTTATTGTCATATACTGAAAGCAGCAACAGAAAGTTCAAAATATAATTGGCTAAACTGGCATTGGGCAGGTTAAAATGACCAAAACAAAGACAGCGTTCTGGCTCAGAACACTTATTTTCAAAGCAGAATATCTGACTTTATTTTTCAGATAATCAAGTATGTTCACTTGGCATGTTTCTTAAATATCTGCAAACATATTATTGGATTTTTATTCTTTAGAAGAGTCAAAAACGTACATGCAGCACCTTTAAAGTAATATTGTTATGTAACTCATGTTTCCTATAATGTGTCATCCCCAACACTGCTTGTTACTACATGTAATTTTTGTTGAGTTTTTTTGGTTCGACTCCACAATGCACATGTTATGACCTCTCATATGACATATGTACATTGGGATCTTCTTGTTGACTTAGTCCACGAGAACCAACTTTAATTTGTCCAACGTAGTCAAGGGTGTAACTTTGATTTGAGAAGTGGGTGGACACAAAATTAGGCAAATGTTTTTGATTTAAATGCCATTTCCTGCATTTACATACATTTAGGGACTATGGTGATACAACATACATGAAATAATTAAGGTTTTTAAACCAACTTTTATTTTAAACTAACCTCAAAATGTAAAAAAAAAAGGTTTTCTAGATTCATGGACATCTGGTGGTCTCTGTGAATATCAGAATCTCTCTGTGTCCTGCTTTGGACATACTCTGCTGTGTTGATGACGGCATGCATCACATAATTTAAAATAATTGATAAAAATTTATTTGAAATGGGTTTTGCATGTCCCCATTGTTACTGAAAATTAGGTCCACCTACTAGGTTTGACAAAGTACACCAAATGCACAAATGTTTTTGAGTGCATTGCCCATGTTTCTAAGTTATGCTGAATGTTTGCTATTCTGCTGGTGTTGTTACAGGGGAGACCTGGTTGGCATATTGAGTGTTCTGCCATGGCCGGATCCATACTAGGAGAATCTATGGATATCCACGGAGGAGGATTTGACTTACGTTTTCCTCATCATGACAATGAGCTGGCGCAATCTGAGGTGAGAAAACTGCAAGGTGGTCATATGTAAAAATGTTCTGCAGCCATTGTTGAAAAGCCATTATTAGATTTCAGATGATTATTCTACACATTACCCTGCAATCACATCATGTGAGAATTACCATAATTGAAAGTTTCTGGCTTGTTGTAAGGGTCCTTATAAAACTTGAGATTAAACACATATTACTGTTTAATATGCATTTAATTAGAGCCTTTTTCATTTTCGCAAGTGCACAAAGATGTGAAATAATGTAGTGATTACATATTTTGCTGTCATTTAAAGCCAAACTTTGATGCATTTTGTTTCTTTGAGCATTTTTTAAAATGTATTTATTTAAACCTTTATTTCACCAGGAATACCACTTGAGTTTTGGAATCTCTTTCTTAAGAGTGTCCTGGACAAACAAGTGATAAACATCACAGAATACATGTCTAAATAAATCTATACAAAATACAATATCAATAAATATATTACAGAATTGTGCCACCAAAACTTACCCAGGCTACAAGTAAAATATGCAATAAAATTGTAAATTATTTGAAGACAATATATGTGTATGTAAAAAGTCATAAGATTATATAATGGTTTAAAACAAACATAAAATATACTAAAATTAACAAAGCAAGTACCTTAGCATTTCAGATAAATAATGATACATGTCAATAAATCATGCAGTAAAGATTTATATCTGCCTGAGGGAATTAGTGATGGAAGTTTTTTATGTTCCGTTTGAAGAGTATTCCATGCTAAAGGACCTGCATATGAGTGCACTTTTACTAAATTCAGTTTTGACCTGAGGAACAGACATAAAAATGTGTACTCCGTGAAAGAAGAGTATAGCTTCCTGTCTCTTTTCTTGTCAAAATATGAAAATATGATCAAATTAATCCAAGAATGGTCTTGTAAATAAACCCTCCCAATGAATAAGCCTCTGAATAGTTAGGGAGGACCAACCCACCAGCATATACAAAGAGCATTTGCATGTAAAGAATTTTTTATTTTATTTCCTTAAATAGTAAATCAGAAGACTAAATGTCATGCTGTCATGAGTCTGGTTCTCTCAAGGTTTTTTTTTCTTCACTCTCCTATTGGTGAAGTTTTTTTTCCCTCTCCGCTGTTGCCACTGACTTGCATGGTTCAGGATCTACAGAGCTATGCATCGATAAATTTGCTCTTCAGTGTTTGGACTCTCAGTAATGATTTCAAACCACACTGAACTGAGCTAAACTGAACTGAACTTAAACACTAAAACTGATCTACACTGTTCCAGTTACTATGACCATTTATGTGAAGCTGCTTTGACACAATCTACATTGCAAAAGCGCTATACAAATAAAGCTGAATTGAATTGAATTAAAATAGTTAGGGGATGTGTGTATTCAAGCTTTGTCTTTGTGTCATTAAAACATGTTTGTTTTTGTTCTGATAGGCCTACTTTGAGAATGATTACTGGGTACGATATTTCTTGCACACGGGTCACCTCACCATCGCCGGATGCAAAATGTCCAAATCTCTGAAGAACTTTATCACCATCAAAGATGCCCTGGCCAAACATACAGGTAACCATGTTATTTTTACAGCATTATTTGAAAGTTACAACATTATATATTGACATCTGCCTATGATTTAGACGAGTTAATTGCACATGATCTCTAAATTTACAATGTATATTTGGCTAGTGCATATTATTATTCTTAAAGTGAACAATTAATCCATGGAAGTTAATCCACTTTTTTTGTTTTGAAATTTATCAAATCTAACAATTTGCATCCACTCTGCAGTGGTAATCTTTTACTGGTGGCTTGGGCAAAACATACATAGCCGCGCCCATTCAAGTATTACTTTGCTGTGAATGAAAGATGAGAGGAGAAGGGCAAAAAATACATAATTGTAACTGCAAAGTATTTTGATGACAAAAATTTCATTGTGACAATGTAACTAATTATGTTGTGACAACCGTCAAGCGTTAAAATAATATTACTTCATGACAATGCCAGACAATCACTTACCATAGCCTTTAAGTTTATTTTTGTACAGCATAGAATTAGATGTGTATGAGTTTATTGGTTCTAAATGTCTAATAATGGCCCAGGCAAATTTTGATGCCCCTGACTGAATGTAGGAAGTTGGATTTGCATAATTTTGAGTGAGTCCATCATTCATAAAATATTTCTCTTTTATTGGGCAAATGTGACCAAATTGGGACCAGTTATGACGATGTCACTGTGTCTTAATTACTAACTGGTAACAATATGAAGTTACACTGTAGCAACTTAACTGGGATTTTCACTTTTCCAGTTGTCACAAATAACACAATTAGTTACTTTGTCACAACGAAACTTTGGTTCAAAATGTTTTGCCGTTACGTAACAATCATGTATCATAGCTAGCGGGGCCCTCTCCTATGACCCCTCAGTATTCCATTTCAGTTAGAAATACATCATCATACTGAAATAAAAGTCTGCAGTAACGTCTGTTACTATAATGCGAACTAAATTTTTTTTTCTTTTCTTTTTTTTCTCTCCCCAATAAATGTAATAAATTAAATTTACTATATTTTTTTATATTTATGAACATAACTTATTCTACAAGATATTTTGACAAAAAATCTTTTTCATAAATTCCACAACATATCGACCTATATATCAGTTTCCAAATATGAATTATTATTGGTCATCAGTATCGGCCAAAAATATATATAAAAATGGGGATTAAGTAAACTATATGTATTTCTAGTTCAAGGAATGTATGTTTACTATATGGAAACACCACTTGACATTTTAAGGGTTTTTAATGTTTTTAAATGCAATAGGTTGACAAAATTTTGATGTGCGTTTGTTTTCCATTTTCTTTTAGCAAGACAACTTCGTTTGGCCTTTCTGATGCATTCATGGAAGGACACATTAGATTATTCCAACAACACAATGGAGTCAGCCATCCAATATGAGCGATTCATAAATGTAAGTAAGAAAATAAAAAAAGCAGTAAAAGGGAAATATCCCAAAAATAATAGTCTATCTTGGTGATACGGTGGCTTGCCGCACAGCAAAAAGGTTGCCATTTCTGTGTGGAAGTTTCCATGTTCTCACCGTGTTTGTGTGGGTTTTCTACATAGTGCATGAATGTATGTGAATGAGTTTGTATGGATGTTTCCCAGTACTGGGTTGCAGCTGGAAGGGCATCTGCTGTGTAAAATATATACTGGATAAGTAGGTGGTTCATTCCACTGTGGCGACCCATCATGAATAAAGGGACTAAGCCGAAGGAGAATGAATGAATAATAGTCCATCCAAATTTAATACCTGCCTTTTATCAGCACGCGGTATGCTCGTGAGTGCACAATAGGCTTATCTAGATTCCTTCAAGAATCCAGAAGGTCGGAGAATAGCGTGTGTCCTTCAGGGCGCATTAATTCTGTCTTGCGCTTCTTCCCACCTATCAATTACTCTGTCACCAAGGAATATAACATGGGCAGAGCTCCAAATGTGCCTGAAACTCACAGACAGCTATTAGCATGGGAAGTATGCAAAGGTTACGTATCACTGACCTACACGCTATATTTTCTTTAACCAGCCTCACCCGAACTTGAGGTTAGGCTCTTAATGAGACACAGCATGTTTTTCCTCTAGCCCAGTGCGCCTCCAAAGGCTGTACTTGAGTAAAAATGAAGATGGCTTGTTAGGAAGGTGATGCAATAACAGTGCAATTCCCTCCACAGATTTTGGCTAAAATAGTTTTGGAGATGAATAGGTGTTCTGAGGTCCCAAATTAGAAGTAGAAGCTGTAAATATTCAAACTAAGTCAATTAAAAAAGCTGAGGGTGTTATTAAGTGTCTGTAGGGTGGGAAATGTTACTCTTATAAAACTGTCTTTTCATAAAAGTCTAGCAGTGGTAGCATTTAAGAAAAATAAATGAAGCAAAGCAGCCACGGGGGAAGATGCTTATGAATAAAAAAGAATTTATAATAATTCTTAGACCTTGAGTTTTTTTTTTTAATTTAATTTTTTTTTTTTTCTAGATTTTATGGATTGTGGGTATATATGTATATATATATATATGTATATATGTATATATGTATATATGTGTGTGTGTGTGTGTGTGTGTGTGTGTGTGTGTGTGTGTGTGTGTGTGTGTGTGTGTGTGTGTGTGTGTGTATATATACGTATGTATGTATGTATGTATGTATGTATATGTGTGTATATATATATATATATATATATATATATATATAAATATATATGTATGTATGTATGTATATGTGTGTATATATATATATATATATATATATATATATATATATATATATAAATATATATGTATGTATGTATGTGTGTGTGTGTATATATATATATACTTTTTTACCAAGATGTAAAATAAGTCTATTGTGTCTCTTAAGTGTGTATGTGGTGTATATGAAGTTTAAATTACCCCACAATTAATGTATTATAACTCTTTGAATTTGCACGTTATAATCCTTGATGGAAGTATGTCTTGGAGTTTAAAAGGAGTAACATTGAAATGACTAAAAGATTAAACTAAAGGGTAAAATGTGGCAAGAGAAATACAGAACAACAAGTTAGCACCGCAAGATATTTATTGCTTCCACAAACTATATTTTTACAGTATGTACCGACATAAAAATAATATAATGATAAATTTGAATGACCAAGACCAATGAGAGATGGAACTGAAAGTTGCGAATGGCAGATTGATGGATGGATGGATGGATGGAACGATAGAGAGAATGATAGAAGGATGGATGGAATGATATAGAGAATGATGGCTAGATGGATGGATGGCTGGATAGTCAGACAGATGGCAGATATGGGGCCCAATCATACACCTGGCGCAATGCGGCGCAAGGCACGACGCAATTGTTGTTTGCTAGTTTCAGCTCGGCGCAAGAGTCGTTTTGACATTTTGCGCCACGCTGTTTAAATAGTTGTCCTGTCAGCCAATAATGTTCCAAATGTAGGCAGTACCTAAATGTGAATGTGACAGGGAGAAAGAGAGAAAGAACATACAAGCACAGAATAGTGTACGGTTCTTCACCGCCCCTTTTAGGCTTTAATTCTAATTGTGTCATTCTTCTCACAGTCCTCTTTTCAAAAGAGGGCGGAGCTACAAATCCCTGTGTGTTAACGAAGTGGCAGCTTCAAAATTAATACTAACATCCTATACTAATGAGGATGAGCGGCAGAGATCATCACTAATGGGCGGGCTTTTCCCTTCTGATGACATGTACAAAAAAAAACATGTCAATCAAAGTGGTTCTGCTGATTTGTGTGATTATAAAAATAAAATTAATAATGTTTTACCATCAGAAGCTGGTTGTATTCACACATTGTTGCCACACAACTGTGATTACACCTCTTATCAAAGTGATTTTTAAATAATAGGTCATCTTTAATGCACATAATATTATATAGCTCATATTTCATGTCTCCACAGGAGTTCTTCCTAAATGTTAAAGATATTCTGAGGAGCCCTACAGACATCACTGGCCAATATGAGAAATGGGAAGCTGAGGAGATTGAACTGAACAAATGGTAACTTGTATGATTCTTACATGATTGTCATTTTTCAAAAGTTAAATTTCTATCACTCATTACATGTGTGTATTTATTTAGCTTCTATGACAAGAAAACATCAGTTCATGGGGCGCTGTGTGATAACATAGACACTCGTTCAGCTCTGGAGGAGATGCGGGCTCTTGTTGGTCAAAGCAACACCTACATGGCTGCCAGGAGGAGTGCAAAACTACCACCAAACCGCATGCTGCTACAGAGCATCGCCCTGTACTTGACTGACATGTTGAAGGTAACAAGTCAGCTTCACTTCTGACCAACATTTTCAGAAAAAAAATTTCAGGATGTGGTATACTTGTTGGTTTTTTACAGTTCTTCAATTGGGGGTAAAGAGAAAAGTTAGCATTTTTTCATTCGTAGTTCTATATAGTTAGCAAACATTTCAAAAAATGAGTATCTAAATGCAGATGAAATCATTAGTCCTTCTGTGAAATTTTCATTCATTAAAAAAAAAATTCTTCTTATCAAAGAAAATATTTTTTTCAACACATTTTTAAATATGATATCTTTAATAACTAATTTATTTAGTTTGTTCCATGATGATAACAATATTGTACTAGTTATTTTGAAAGATTAAAGTGAAATTTAAAGGCTTAACTAGTTTAATTATGGCTCGTATCCACTGAGTGGTATGGTACAGTATGGGTCAGTACCATTTTATGTCTGTTTCCACTGTCAAAAGGTACCTAAAAGTGAACCGTACAGTACCAAATATTTGAGCACCTTTTCTAAAGGGTACCTAGCACAACAAAAGGGTACCAAAAGGCGGAGCTAGACACACAGCTATAAAAAAACTACTGAGACAGCTGAGACATTACACCGTAATAATATATACATAAAATAACGAGTCATGGTTGACTCGAGCTCAAACAAACCTTGTCGTCGTCTTAATGAACAGCCACAAAAAGATAAACCTGTTGTACTGTTGTTGTTTACGAGGCCGTCTATAGCGTGAGCGGTTTCACTTTCTCCAGGGAACTTGTGATCGTTCGCCATGCTTCCATATTCAAAATAACAAACTACTTGAGCTGATGATAATAGCATGCACGTGATTATTAAAGTGCGTCTGACATCTGATCCTTTCAAAAAAGGACAAACACGGAATTGAAGCGTGTAAAAACAAGGGAGAAGCCGGAAAAAACAAAGGCGCAAATGATTCTTTCAGCAACCAAAAGCATCTTTAATTATTATCATCACATTTTAGACTATTATAAACTCAAAATGCCAGAATTACTTTCTAACAAGAGGTAACATGTGCTGGAGAAGATTAAAGACACAGATGAGAGGTAAAAGTGATAAAAGTGACCCGTACCCACCCATACCGAACCGTACCACTCAGTGAAAACTGACCATTAGGTTAACTAGGCACGTTAGGTTAATGAACCAATTTATTGGATCACTGGTTTGTTCTGTAGCCAATCAAAAAAGAATAATTTCTTATGGGGGCTAATACTATTGAAGGGCTTTTTTTCAGTTTAAAAACAGCATTTATTTTAGCTAGACTAAAAAAATAAGACTTAATATATTAAAAAATATATAGTAGAAAACACAGTGAAAATTGCTCTGATAAACACTGCATGGGAAATATTTAAGAAATTTAATAAAAGTAATTACAGGAGGCCAACTTATTTTGCCTTTAACTGCATGTGCTGCATGTTTTACTCTTAATGACAAAATAAACACACAACTAAAATGAAAGCAGTGACAAAACAGCAGCATTTGAAAATAGTGGATGTTTGCACAAGCTCTCTAATTCACCACTCTAGTGCCACGTTTATTTATAGAGCACACAGTGCTAAGCAGCTTTACTGAAATAAAGATGTAAAAACCATGTCAAACTTGCTTTTCATAACAATTACACTAAACTTTCTAATTCTATTTCTATTAAGCAGGTTTCCAGTGTTTATTTTGAGGCATCTAACCTTAAAAAAGTGTACATGAAACAGAAACATGAAACAGAGACGATCTTCAGTGCACACATACCTATTGTGTAAATCTTACAGACCATTAGTATATCAACGGTGGTTAACAGCACGAGTGTTTCAGTAAAAGTTGATGTTTCAAACTTTGGTAACAAACTTGGAAAGAGCTTATTTATTTTGTCTGATTATGTTTCATTTTGCTTGATTTTTATCGAAGCCTTGTCATTGGGGCAATACTGTTTAAAGGATATCTTTGTGCCTTTCCGCCTTTAGTATACACATAACAAAAGTAGCAACTTTTTGCAGTTAAAGTGTCAGTATCTGCTTGTTAAGCTGTGACGTATGGAATACTGTTTCCGGGTCCAAGTCGCTACTATTTTGAATTGAGAAAATATTCATTAATGTCCAACTTTTAGTCATATAACACATTAAAGGAAATTCTTTTTTTTTCTTTTTTTTTACTTATTTTTTTATAGATTTTTTAGAAACATATAACCAGTGGGAACAAAACAAACAAACAAAAATAATACTTATATACATAAATATATATACATACATATATACGTATATACGCAAATACATCCATTCCACACAGGTATATCTCTATACATGCATACATATATAAAATATTAAATTAACCTCATCAAAAAAAAAATTATAAAATAAGTGTAAAATAAAATGTAGTAAAAGGTTCCCAAACATAATCTCGCAATGGTGCATAACCTCTAGAATTATGTAAATGTAAAATTTTAGATAGTTATATTGTCGTTGTGGAGAAAGGAAGCCATTTACTCAAAGATCTCTAAGTGCATGTGTCATTTTTTTCATTTCCTCAACTTCTTCTTCTAAATGTTGAGTCCATACAGTTTGATAAAGCGCTTGAATCCGGAAGCGACTTCGTGTAACGTCACACTTAACAAGCAGATAGCAACCACCTCAGATGCAACTTCCTATGTTTAAAACGAAGCACAGGCACCTGTAGCTCCTCCCCTTTAAAAAAAAAAAAAAGCAGCCAATAGCATTTTGTTTTATCATCACTTTGCCAGTGAGAGTGGTTGAGCGCAAGCGCATCAAATGATAATCCTCTTAAAGGGGGCGGGTCATGTCAGATCCTAGAAAGCATTTGACTGGCTATGATTTGATGAGAAAATAAAGTATGAGGTGACATAAATAAAACCATTGATCCATTTAAGTAACAAACTACAAGCTTTAGATGTTTATATCAGTTTTATATTTCATAAATGTGAATTTTGTTACTGTTTTAGTGTACAGTAGCTTATAGATATCCTAAAAACTAACAATAACTGAAAAAAAAACTGATACTAACATTTAAAAAAAAACAAAACTTTATTTTATATTTATGGGACCTTAGAGGGTACAAGTTCTGCCCATTTTCCTTCTAAGAATGTTCTCTTTTTCTTGAAATTCTAAAACTGCGACATTAAATCTTAAAGGCAAATCTTTTCCTAAAATCAGTCTGAGCTGAGATGTTGAGGGACAAACTGAAAGAATGGATGCACCTTGAAGTGCTTGCTAAAGCTGTTTTGTGCTTTTGACAGACATTTGGAGCGATTGAGGGAACCGACCCGATTGGCTTCCCCGTTGGAGGAAACGGACAGAGCGCTGATGTAAGCAACACCACTGGGATCATGTTTGATTCATCAAAGCTTTTCTTTTTAATTAAAATGTTACAAAGCCAGACTTGTGAGGACATGTTATTAAAGATTCCGCCCTAGAACGTTCTTTGTCCTCCATAAGGACTCTTCTGTCATTAAACTCTTGTTAATCGCTTGATTTTCTGTTTCAGCTGGAGAGCACAGTCATGCCCTATTTGTCAGTGCTGTCCGATTTCAGGGAAGACGTCAGGAAAATTGCAAGAGAGAAGAAAGGTAAATCTCTAGGGGTGTTATATTGCTTTATATTTTAGTGTAAAGATCTACAGCGTGAGCTTGAGTTATTTGTTTTCTTATAATTTATTACCTTTTTTATGAGTATTGCAGCTGTATACCCAGCAGACATTTGCATACAATACAGTATTTGTTTATGCAGAATAGAGAATTCGTTAGGAAACTTTGCTTGTGTTTCAGTCACTGAATTGCTGCAGCTTTGTGACCAATTGCGCGACGATACTTTACCTGAGCTGGGGGTCCGACTGGAGGATCGTGATGGTAAGCAGAAGAAACTAAAACTTGTTTAAACTCTGATTGTCATGAAACATAAATATCAAATTGTTTGTCTAAGGGCTCCCCACATCGGTGAAGTTGGTGGACAAAGAAACACTTCTGAAAGAAAAAGAAGAAAAGAAAAAGGTAATGGTTCAAATCGCATAATATTATCTTTCTACTTGATTTATTTGGTGTCAGTACTGTAGATTCTGGTTACACTTTATTTTCATGCACCCCTTTAAAGGTACCATGAAATTAAAATAAAGGTTTTTAGATGTTGGTATCAGTATTGATTGTTTTTAGGATACCTAAAATAGGGCTGCGCGACACTGAAAAAAACTGACATTGCAACAGTTTATTTTTCTGTGATACATTTTGCGATATTGGGTATACTTTCACCAGATGAAAAAAACGGCTTTATTTGGATATTTTTAGATCAATTGGGATGATTTTGTAGCTTAGTGCATTTGCTTGAAATAAAATAAAACAAATCACAAGCATTGACAAATACAGTGGAGCAAAGATGCAAATGAAATGCACAGAATTTTATGTTTTTCTGGGAGTCTAGCGTGAATTGAATTGAAATGCAAAATATCACTGTATAGTCAACATCTTATAAATTCAATGAATCTTTCTTAAAGTTAAAAGCATTATAATCTCTTGCCTGAATGTTTTAGACTGGCTTAAATGCTCACAGACCTTAAAAACAAAGCAAATGATAGACATGATGGTTAACTTAAGTAGCATTAACATCAACATTACAGTTCCTGCGATGTGACTATTGTGGATGGGCACATTGCAATATCGATGCTATACATCAATGTCACTGTAACGATATATTGTGAAGCCCTAATCTATAAGGTAGTGTGCAACAAAACGGCAACAAAAAAAATTCATTTATGAAATATAAAACAGTTATAAACATGTAAAGCTTATAGTTTATCACTTCTGCCTAAATGAATCAATGGTTTTATTCTCATCAACTCATACTTCAGTTTCTCATCAAATCAGGACCAATCAGATGCTTTCTAGTGTCTAGCAGAGTTACTTTTAGTCAGTTTAATAGCATTAAAATAATTAATAATAGCATAAATAATAGCATTAAAATAAAGTGTTGGCAGATATAAAGCACAGTCTGCTGATAATAATGACTTCTTATTGACATTCAACTGAAAGTAACTTCTAGCTAACAGAATGTCTAATGGGAAACATCAAAACAATAGTTACCTAGACTTTAGATCTCATTTCACATGAGCCGTACAGGTGTACTGTACATCTTATTAAGTTAGAATTAGTCGTTAATCAGATCAAAGTTGTCTCTCTTCCAGGGTAAGTTGATCCGTTTCTTCTGTCCATGGAAAAAAAAAAAAGATTCTTCGCATTTCAGGCGTCACAAAAGAAATGATTCAGATGCAAACCAGGTCATGAAAAATGTATTTAGGCCTTTTGAGCTTGTGAGTGTAAATGTCGACCTTCAGAATATATTGTAAGGACTCAGGTTGCATCGGGTAATTGTTGTGCCTTCTTAGAATGACTCCTTTCAACCTTGTCTGCACGCTTGCAGCTCTGGACACACTTCACACATCAGTCATGATCCAACTGAGATGGTTATTGAGAAAACAGTGAATGGGAGCTGTCTCTGAGACTTGCCTATTGTGTGTTCGTATTGATCATTAATAAATAAGCACATACACAATAAATAAGCACAACCTTTCAAAAAATGGGGTCATTAAGGTCCTTTAGCTTTAATTTAATCAACTATACAATAAGAAAAGAGAAATCGTGAAATGGTATTACAGTTATTGCACTAAACTAAAAATTCTGGATAGAAGAAAACTTCTAGATGCACATGATTGTAAACTGAAACCAAAAATGCTTTGTAATAATCACTTCTTCTTTTTTCTATTAAATAATAAAAAGTAATTTTGTAAGACTATATGTAACTCAATAATTTGAAAATATACTGATTTTTAAAAAACACAAGCTGAGACATTTTATTGACAGCTGAATTTTATTACGAGTAAAGAAGCATCATTCTAGCAGTGTTGCCATGACCAGTATTGGGTAAAGTGACTTTTCAAAGGAATGCATTACAATATTGAGTTACACCCCCAAAAAAGTGTTACTGATTGTGTTACTTAGTTTTTATGATAAGTTTTGCAATAAGTTACTTTTGAGTTATTTTTGCATTACTTTTTATTACCTGACTGTGGCTTGATCCTTTACAGAACTTTTTTTTTCTTCTTTTTTTAAATAGAGGAGTTCTGCAACTAACAACACACTGTATAACCTACATCTTCATTTACCTTTTAAAAAAAACATATTTTTTTAGCATTTTAGGATAATGTGGTCTTTCTGAACACAGCGCCATACATGCCGTATACATCTGTATTGAAAGTTGAAAGCAGAGATGCCCAAAGTAGGGCCCGCTGGCCAGAGTTTGCCCATTGTAACCTTTGATTTGGCCCACCATCCAATCCGAGAGGAAAGCAAGAGTGATGGAAAGGGTTTGGTGCGATTGCCTTTAAAAGCGTCATTTCTAATTTGATGTAACATTTTTAGCTTCAAAAAAAGCTAACTGAAATTGAATGTTTCAATTAAAATTGGTAAATGAATCTGCTTTTTTTTTATAAATGTAAAAACTGGCTCACATAGAGGACTATGCTGAAGACATCGGCGAGCATATCAATGCAAAAACTAGAGTAATTCTGTTATAAATTAGATTGTTTTGTTTTTATTGTAGCAACTTCATTATAAAATGTAAAAAAAAATGTATATTAATTAATATAAAGGATGTTTATAATGTTTTTTTATTCAATTTTAAATATTATTAAATAAATTAGTGAATTAGGCATATACACCGGCTCACTAGCCTCAATTAATTTGTTTTTTGCACTTCATAATAAAAAGTTTGGACACCACTGGTTTAAGCAATGTGTTTGCTACTTTTGTACTATCCGTCTTAAGTAAAATCACTGTCCATTGAGACAATTTTTTCCTTTTCTTTGATGCGTTTAAAATAATGAACACATTCTCCCATTGACTGCGTGATTCATTGTGACTACTTTAATTTTAATTCATTCAGTTGTTTTTTAAAAGCTAATTAAACAAAAAAATAACTTGCGTTACATTTTCAAAAAAGTAACTCAAGTGTTATTACTTATTTTTTAAATGTAATGCTTTGCTATATTTAAGCTTTATAACTCACGTTACTTGTAATGTGTCATCCCCAACACTGGCCATGACAGCACATTAGTGATATTGCCGAGGGAGCAAGTATAAATGACGAACTTGGGCTATATTTTTTATATCCAAGCTAACTGCCTACTTAATGCAGGTGTTGCACATGCAAATTCCCCCAGTCGTTCATTTTTGGATGCAGAGCTGTTCGCAAAGTTGCTAAAAAGATTGTGTGCTCCATCAGCCAATATGATGTTGCACCCACCCAAAGCGATCTTCCGCCAACACTGTGATGATGTCACATTCGCTGCGCATACCTAATCGAACTTGCAGACATATCGAGTATAAACCAGCCTTTAGTCTGCACTGCGCAAACCATTGCAATAAACGGGTTTCATTGCTGAGTATCTACAGCTGGAGTGACTGTGAAACCAGCGCACTGAACACTGCTGGGCAATACATTGCAGCATAGCTTTTTTCATCTCATAATTTCTGTCATTTTTTCTTTCATCTGAAAATGTAAATTTTCTGTTTTTGGATGCTGTGGAATTCTGTGGATTCCTAGCTTTGATACAGTATAAATTGTTATTGATCCATGTGATGTCGAAGTTAAACTTGTATTGCTCATTTCTTCAATTATAAGTGTCACATGATTCATTATAATATACTGATTTGGTGCATGACTTGGTGAAGTACTGACAAATGTTGTGCTGTTTCAGTTAGGAACACATAAAAACATTTGTGATTCTTTTCCAATTTGGTAATTTTCTGGAGGAAAATATCATCTAAATTATATTTTTATTTTAAATTGGGTAGAAATTTTATCAGAGCGTTATGTACTAAAGCAAATATTACATTTCTTTCCTCAGACCCATAGATAATAACTAGTAAAATAGTTATTAATTTGAGTCGTTGTTTTGATTAGTTACTTTGGCTATATTACTTTATGCATGATACACAGTGTGCAAATTATACATTGACGATCGGGGGAGGTCAACTTTTTTGGTAATGTTACCAATAGTATCAGGATGCAGCCTTTATGATGCAAGCTGAGATTGCATCACTCAGTGATGCAATGTCCAACAAAATGCACTTAAATGAAGCGAGTGACGTCACTGTGAGGGGTAGGGTTAGGGGTGGGGTTTGGTGAGCCCATTAAAAAGCGTTGGATGCAGCTCAGATTGCACTGCACCAGGTCTGCATCCAGACCCCTCTCAATGTTACTGTAGTTTGTGTAATACAAGCTTCAGTCATTTATGTATTTATTTAAATCATATCTAATTGATTTATGAAACGTATTTAGGTGTTCAGTGCTTTTAGGGATATTTAGTGTCTGACCTACAGTATCCTCTGATTAGTTGTTTCAGAGGTTACTGGAGCTCAAACTATGCATTTAATTTGACTATTTTTTAGGCTATATAATGATACTAACACCAATTTACTTTTTTAAAGTGTCTTGTAAACACTTATGATGTCTATCGGTGCTTTACATCTCCTTGCATAGACCGATTAGCGGTGGTATTAACCATTATAGGGCTGGTCAAATGTACATTCATGTTATCTGTCATTTTAATCATGGACTTTATTGTTTAAAATACAAGTCAAAGTGAACTTTTTCTTTGACCCATCTATACATCTTGTTTTGACATCCTTCAGGGGGATCAAGCATTAATTAGGGGGGTCAATCCCCCGCAACCCCCCTGTAATTCGCACCATGATAATACTCAAGTATCATCCGGCAGCTAGCTTTCTACAACTCTCACATGGTCGCCCACTGAAGCTAAGCAGGGCTGCCGCCCGGTCAGTACCTGGATGGGAGACAACATGGGAGAGCTAGGTTGCTGCCAGAAGTGATGTTAGTGAGGCCAGCAGGGGGGTCCAGCCTGCGGGCCGTGTGGGTCCTAATGCCCCAGATGGGAACTCTATACTGCTCAGTGAGATGTCTTTGGGATGAGACGTTAAATTTGCCCACTCCTAAACCCCCCCCCGTATCATAATTCTCACATAAATCACAACTCTGTCTCCTATCCACCAATCAGCTGGTGTGTGGTGAGCGGTCTGGTGCAAGATGGCTGCCGTCGCGTCATCCAGGTGGATGCTGCACACTGGTGGTGGTTGAGGACATTTTCCCTATGTGTAAATTCTTTGAGTGCCCAGAAAGGCGTTATATAAATGTAAGGAGTTATAATTATTATTATTATTATTAATTTCCTCAATTTGTTTTATGTTTCAAGCTGAAGGACGACAAGAGAAAGAAAAAAGAAGAGGCTGCAAGGAAGAAACAAGAACAAGAGGTGATTTGAGAATCCTCTGAGACATCCTATTGTTTAAACTTTTAACTTGATTAAGAGTAGTGTATTTACATTAGGGTTTTGAATTATTTGTTTGATTCATATTTATGTATTTTTTTAATGATAGATGGCAAAGTTGGCAAAGATGAAGCTTAAACCTAGTGAAATGTTCCGGTCAGAGACTGACAAGTACTCCAGCTTTGATGAAACGGTAATGCAACCCATTCATTCTCCTTTGTCATAAGATACACACCTTTATGTCTCACTACTGTATATTGGATCCATTTCAAGGTGACTATTGGTCTATAGGGAATGCATGAGTCAGTTTAAATTATTAATCATTGGGTCACATCTATTCACAAAATGCTAATTGTATGTCTTTTTTGTATATACAGGGCTTCCCGACACATGATGCTGAGGGAAAGGAGCTCAGTAAGGGACTGACCAAGAAGCTGCGTAAGCTTTACGAGACTCAGGAGAAGCTGCATAACGAATACCTCCAGTCAACTCAGAACGGGAGCTGAAAACACAAAGCGTCGAGTCTGATTTGATCCGCCCATAGTGTCTGTTTGTGAACTTGTCGTCTTGTGTTTGTGAAAAGGCAGCAAAACTCTTTTGTGAGTTTTGGCTCTAAATATTAGCAAGAGTTGCCAAGTCCTTCTGATCACAATTGGAAAGTTAACGTTTTCCTGCAAACATGACTTTGGGAGGTATTTTATGATTCTGATGTTAAGGATATATACACTTTATTTTGTGTGCTTTTTGCACACAGAGGACAAAGATGCAAGTATATCACAGTTTTTCTAATGTGGGTTTGGTGGTTTATATGAAGTATGCAAGAACTATTTAGCTCATTTATGTGGAAATTAATGAAACATTTAATGTTTTCATTACTGATTCTTTGTTTTTTGTTTTTCAATAATCTGGCTGGTTAAGTAGGCGTTTCCTCCGAAACACTATTCACACATCAGCTAGTGCTAACTATTGATTCATAAATGTGAATCTAAAAATCTGATGCTACAGGAACGAAGGGACTTCAGGTTGGTTGATTACAAATGGAAAAAACAGAGGCATACATAGGAGAACCTGTTATTGCTAGTATTAACATACTCTTTACAAAAACATGAAATACCAAAATAAAAAAAGATTTTGAATAATGTATGAGGCCTGTTTGCTTCCAATAACGTTTTTGAACTGGTTTGTTTACACACATGTAGTATATACACTGTAAAAAATGCTGGTTTCCACACAATCGATTTGTATTGGGACAACTTGAAAGAATTAAGTTAACTCATTAAGTTTTTACAATTTTATGTGGATTCAAACATCAAATTAAAATGAATTAAAACAATTAACTTGGGGCGGTAGTGCAGTGAGTAGCGTTGTTGCCTTACAGCAAGAAGGTCGCTAGTTCGAGCTTTGGCTGGTCCAGTTAGCGTTTCTATGTGGAGTTTGCATGTTCTCCAGTTTCCCCCACAAGTCTAAAGACATGCACTATTAGTGAATTAGGTTAGCTAATTTGTGCATAGAGTATGTGTGGGTGTTTCGCTGCGTAAAACATAAGCTGAATAAGTTGGCGGTTCATTCCACTGTGGTGACCCATGATTAATAACGAGAATAAGCCGAAAATAAAATGAATGAATGAATGAAGTTGTGTTTAAAAAAAACCCCGCAAGATTTGTGTTGTTTTAGCTAATTTTAGAACTAGACTATCTAAAACTGGACTGTGAAGAAACTGGTCATAAAAACAGTCTTCCTACCTAAACTACATGATTAGTAGAGATGGCATGTAGATCAGATATGAATAATGTTTATTGAATAATCATAATATGCATGCACTTTTTATTTTAAATGTTAATTTTGTACGTTTCACAATTACACATATGTTGGGAAAAATGCCATTGGGGTATATGCTTGAAAAATCAGTAATGAGCTGAGAATTGAGAAATACAGTGTGAACTGCCTGATAGCTGATATAAAACCTACTATAAGTGTATCATTAAAGCTTCTTAGGTATTTTAAAGAGATTTTTATTTCAAAAGACAAACAGTCTGCAGCATAGCCTCAGGACCATTTACTGATACTGTGGTAAATAATTATCAGTGTCTTGCACATACCAATCATTGAGCCACGGGTATGCTTTGCCTGTTTGTATATACTCAGAGTAATAGCTGGTAGTATCAACTGTATTTTATTAATGACCAAGAACTACAGTTAAGCTTAAAATCTTCTAATTTTCTGCTGAAGAAGATGGCCTGGGGAGTAAAGAAATATTCAATGTTGTATAAACATTTCTTTAATAGATGAAAACGAATAACAATATTGTTCAAATGTGTAATTAAACTAAATTTTTTGTTTATCTTGATGGCTCCCACACACTAAAAGCATGAATTTGCTATAAATGTAATAGACAGGACCAAATAAATCAAGGGGGTGGTAAAGGGAATCACCGAATCTATCTCCAACTCGAATTTAACGAGTCGGTTCCTTCGAACGATGCATGTCAACCTGTTCAATCCATCAGTATCGCTGAGGCGGAGAAATACTGGACCAATGCTCTACTTCTTTACTGCCTAGTCCATCAGCTAAACAACACCCGCTGATTCAGGTAACAACAATTGATCTCACTAAATAAAACGTATGAAAAATAAACGGGGAATTTTTTTACTTTAAAATATCTGACATATTCATCCAATGTAGGTCGTGCGGAATAGATTATACTTCCGAGGGTGTAGGTGTGTGAAATGAGTGTCGTTTGTTTTGTGCTTATCATCAATGTTTTGGTAAAGTTACGTATGACTGTTAAGAATTGATACAGCTTCGATATAACACACTTATGAAGCGATGATCCCGTGAGCAGTTAACCGCAGAAAAACTAGTCAAAGCTTCGAGCCGGAGTGTTTCGTGAGGGTCTGTTAGCATGTTAGCCTGTGACATTTACACTTCAGACGTCTTCTGGGTTCGTTTGGAGGTTGTCCAGCGTCCAACCTGCCACTGTTATGACCCTCTCCATCACTGCTGGTAAAGTCTGTAGTTGTTGAGATATGGAGATCTGATTCAATCCGTTATGATCAGGGTGAGGCTAGTTTAGCGTGTTAGCTGCTAGCGGGAATGTGTGTGTCTGATGGGCGTCAACGTAAACACATCTGTTTGTAGCTTTACTTTTTATCTGTTTAGTTTTGCTGCTTGCTAAACACATTTAAACGTTATTTGGAACCTGGAATATTTGGCTTAGTCTTACCAACTAAGCAAAGTTTCTGCCATAATAATAAATCATAATTGATGTGGCATCTTTATCTAGCTAAAACGTTTTCAACATTTATTAGCAAAGAGATTTTCCGTTTGTTGTTGTTGTTGTGAATATTATTGTGTAATAATAATGATAATAATAACAGCAGCAACAACAACAATAATAATATTAAAACTATAAGTTGTTATTTTAAAGATGACACATTATCCTTAGTCTTTCAACTGCCCCACCACAAAAAAAAATTGGATTGCATTTATTTACTCCTAATGTCGCTAGTTAACACACTTAATACATTTTTCCAACACATCTCACAATTAAAAAAATATCAACCTCAACCAAATGGTTGAAATATTAGTTTATGGTAAAATTACTGCAATTAATGCGTATACTATGAAAAATCTAAAAATATAAAGTGTAAGACATTTATTTAAAAACACAACTTGTTTTTTTACAGTAAAAAAATCTAAATCAGCAAAATCTAGTGTATTAGTGCAACAGGATTATGTTTGCTTGATTATTTTGTAAACCCAACAATGCTGCGTGTGTAAACCATTATTTTAACAGTCATTATTTAAATGACTTTAACAGCCATTGTTTAAAACAGTCAAAATATGGTCAACCATTTAGTAGAGCAGGCAGTTAAAGGGTTAAATTGACAAATTATAAAAATGGAAATTTATTTTGCTTATACTGATAAACCTTTATTATTGAAATTGTAATAATTTTTATTGTACAGTGTTTATTATTGAACATCATTTCTCAAAAATGTAAATATACCCAAATTAGCTCAAAGTCTAGTTTTCATTAGGAGTCCCTGTACCAGAAGTTGTTGGCTACAATCAAACAACAAAAAAACAAAAAGAAGCCATTTATTAAAATTATACTTTAATGATACAAATTTTCTCACTGATTGTGGCATTAAGTTCCACTGATGTGAACATGTTTTTTTAACCATAAATTAATCTGTGTAATAGCAATCCAATAAGGAAATTAAATTGAAATCACCATTATGAATTTAAGGTACAAAAAGCAAAAAAATAATAAAAAGGAAAAGAAAATCAACTGTCTAATTCATTCATTCATTCATTCATTTTCTTTTCCGCTTAGTCCCTTTATTAATCCGGGGTCGCCACAGTGGAGTGAACTGACAACTTATCTAGCACATGTTTTATGTTTTAAGCAGCGGATGCCCTTCCAGCTGAAACCCATCTCTAGGAAAAAAAACTGTCTAATAATTATTATTTCATTAAATGGATTCACATTTAAATATTTTTATTTACAGCACATTGTTTTTCATTTTAAATTATTGTAAACGAGTATTTTATAGTAATATGGCATTAATGTAGTATGTATTATAAACAAGTATTTAATGTAATGTCTAAATCTGTATTGTTGTCGTTTATGTTTATCATACATTTGTATCATCTTCTCTATTTAATATTAGTGTATTTTTCTGATAAATAAGATTTAAAGTTCTAGTTAATTAAAATACATTTTTGGTCATTGCTGGACAGAACTAAAGCTTTTAAGCTAAGGACTAGCTTTTAACTTAAGCTACAGTTTTTTATGTCTTTTTTTTATTTTTATTTTTACAGAATATTTGAGCTGTAGTATCAAGATGGAGGCTGACAATGAAGCCAAAGGTAACTGTGAATTCCTGTGGTCTTTGATTAGCAACTTCAAATTGGAACTCCCAATTCCAATTCTACCCCTCATCCCTTACCCTTACCCCAACCCCTTGTTTTGCGCATTCATGTGAAGGGGTAGGGATGTCCCAATTGACCCTTCGTTAAGCCACACCCAAAAACCACCACCCACCAATTGTGGCTTAGCAACCGTAGCTATGCACAGGGGCTCTTTCAAGCTTTTGAGCGAGGGAAACAGGCCAAAGCGTTGCGCTTATGGATTGTGCATATCTAATACTCGGTATCCTAAAAGTTTGGTTGAGATGGTGGAATTTTTTCTCTTTTCAAAACCAAAAACCCAAGGGGAGAAATGTCAGAGTGGATCTAGCTGTGTGAGGGGCGCTAAAGGAGCGGAGTTAAGTTGGTTTTGTTTTGATATTCCTGACACGTTCAGTGATAGACTGACAGCAATAACTCACACACCTCTTACCCCAAACAGATCTAAACTGTGTTTTCTACAAAAATACAAAGCAGGTTATGTGTTCCAGCTGTCTTTTTCTCTTTTTTTCGCTCAATATTATGAGCACTGCTCCGTTTAAGTCCTTGCAATAGTAGCTTAAGCCTGGTTTATACTTCTACGTTGAGTGACCGGCGTAACCCACGGCACATGCAATGCGTGTAGCTGTGCATTTATACTTCTTCGCGCTGTCTCTGTTGGCCTGCATTAACACTTCCGAAACGCTAGTTGGCAGTGAGGTGTAAATGTTCCTCTGTGTCGAGTTTCTTCGCTGCTGTTTTGCTTTTCCTGAACACTTCCGGGATGTACAAGTGGCTCAAACTTGCTCATTTTGAGGCAGGAACCGGCGGACGTGCAACAACTTTAACTATGAAGTAAACACAAAACAAAACTTTCCATCCGGAGCTCCTTCACGGGACTCCACAATCAATCGGGTAAACAATCATTCACGCGGCTCTCTTTCCCTTTCTTGCTGCTCTTTCAATGAATGAATAATGTAAAAGCACTGTCCATGCATGTTTCCTCGACGGTTAGTAAAGCTTTATTTCATTGCGCAACATAAGTCTATCAGGCTTTTTGGCTAAAAATAAAGAAATCACGGTTTAATTTGTTATAATTAGATTATTTTGAAATTTCACCTCTCCTGCTGAGCATGAGCTAAGCTATTGAATGGTTAGCGTATGAGGTGGCTGGGTTCAGCTAGCTTCAATTTTGATTGAATTATTCTGTAATCGGTTGCCTATTATGTCGTGAATATACCCCTGTAAT